CCCCCCCCCCCAAAAAAAAAAAAAAAAAAAAAACCTTTAAGTATTCCAATGATCCTCCCAAATTGACAGTTAATTTCCTATAGTCCCCCCTTTATACTCTGTCAGCGACGACTGATCCCCCTCCGTTCCCTCTAAAAACCATGCAACACCTCCAAAAACCCTTTGACCTTCCCCCCCCCCGACGATTATTAACGCCTTGTCCCTTCTATTTTAGAGGTTGTTATTATATTTCGAGAAATAAAAAACAAAGTTCATGCTTGCGACTTGTGTTAAAACACAAAGCTCAACTCTAAAATGAACAATCATGATGGGTGGAATAGAATCTAAGCAATCGTTCATACCTTGCTCAGAGTACCTCCCAAGTGACAGAATATCGCCTGTATTACTGGATCTCTAATTCTCTTTTTCAAATGATATGTTGTGAGTGCCTCTATCTCATCTCTTACGGCTCCACTGTCCAAGGAAGTTGCCCTGTAAGGAAACTATTTCAGTTGCATAGCCACGCAATAAGTATTGTGACAAGTATGCTACCAGTGCATAAAGAATAGTTGCCTTGGTTTTACCTTTTCTTGAAGAGTATTTCTCATTAGTAACTTAAGTGATGGGTGTGAAGCCTTGACAAAAGTTCATTCATTATCGATATTTCCAAGACATATTATCTGGATTAAAACAGACAGTAGGAGGGAAGAATCGAAGGAAGTTGAAACCAAAAAGAAATGCAAGACACTTGCAGAATGAAATTGAAACAAATCAATCTCTCCTAAAAGACAAGGATCAATGTCAGTATCGGAGCAACTGCGTACCTAGTCGCCCCCCTCCCCCCCGCCAAACCCAACTCTAACCCTAACTTTTTATAAGTTGGCTGTTGTTCGTTTAGGGGGAAGGGGTAGTTGCCAAGTTGTTCAGATTCTACCTTTGATCCGAAGACAATTACAACGCTCAGGAAAAAAAAACGTGAACTTGCTACCAATGAGATGAGACAAGAAAATATTGTTGCACAAAAACTAACCCTCTAGCCATTTGATTTACCAGCGCCAGCATCAAAGACCCTAGGACACGACCTTCTTGCAAAGAACAAACATCCCCAAACATAAGCGACATAATTTTTTTTAGTGCCACATCATTCATTCTTATATTGACGCTTGTTTCCTGATCTGGCTCAGAGGAGTTGTCATCTGACGTCATTATCTCTTGTGTAGATTCCAGGTTTCTGCTAGTTGTCTCTTCCACACTGGAAAGGATTGAGTCTAAAACAAAAGTGAAATGTAGACGTCAACTAGTTCAGTAGAATTATAAAAAATTAAATCCACTTATCAGTTGACTTGGGTGGAAAAATCATGGTCAAACTCATTGCTCAATTCTATAATTCATACAAACCCATGACAAGTGAAAAGTAATCCTAAAACAAACAGCAATATTCAATTCCCAGAAGTGATTAACATGCACCTTCTCCCCATAATATTCATACATTATCCTGCACACAGATCACGTGAATACTCAAACTTATCAGGTAGAAGTTGTTATCTTGATCTAACGTCAAATTTTCATGACCAATTTACAAAGAAATATGTGGCAGCTAGAGGGGGGAATTAAGAATCTGATCTTGGGAGTTTAGATTTAGCTGAGCGCTGCGTAGAGACCAGATTTCTTTTCTTTGCATGTCTGATCGATGAAATTAAGTCCTGCTAGACAGGATGCGTTCTTCGATGCATGTATTTTAAACTTTAAATTTTCTGAAGTTTTCTTTTATCTATCAATGTGTTTATATCTGCCTTGTCAATAAAGACAAGTGGTTTACACAATACAAAACAGAGTAAATACTCACCACATTGTGAATATTCTTCTTCACTCAAATTCATCGTGTTGTCCAGCATTATTTTCAAAACCTCTGCCAGCTTGCCTTTCAGTTCTGCATTTTTGCAGCTTTGCTGCTCCTCTTCAAACCGACGATTCCATGATCTGTTGCAGTAATTGTCAAACCGTTCACAAAGACTTTGCGTTTTTTCCTAGATAGAACAATAGCTTGTTCAGTTTTAATACTGAAAACATGAAACAGGTAACATATTGAGACAACAGCATATATAAAATTTTGCCTTAACATGACAGTGTTCCACATGCTAACTTGCATAGATGTCACAGCTTATCCCCGTTTATTTACTTTAAAGTGACTGCAAGTATGGATACTTCGCCTGGATAGAACGCAAATCCCCTACGGATTACAATTTCTCCAGCTTTTCTTGGAAGTTTGCAAAACCTGAGAGGCCATGAGCACCTCGACCAGATACCAAAGGATGCAGACCTCTTACTAACCGGGTTCAAGGTCAGTGCACTAAGTTACGGAGCGCGACGCGCACAGGCCATAAATCCGAGCGTAAGAACAAGGTTCCATAACTTACGGTACAAACCAAGAAAACCAGATTAGTAAGATATTTATTGCAAGCTTGGGTTCAAATAGGGCTGCATGATTTCAGTTCAAATAATTTTGCAGGTTGTACAGTGAAATGCGGCCGCCAAATTGACTAGTTCCTATCTCTAACTGAGAGATCTAACACTCGGCAAAACTCAATGGAGGCTAAGACCTGAGCCTTTAGATAGATGTCAAGTCCGATGCACTCGCTATTGGGCAGACGTAGCTCTTTGTGATTAGTAGAAATCTCCCAGCATTCCATCAAAACGGTACAATTTGTTTGGCGCCTCGCTCACCATATTTGAATCGCCTGAGTTATCTAATTGTTAATTAGCAAATGTTTAAACCGAATCAAAGTAGCTTACCCAGACCATAAAGGCACTTCTTGATTTAAATGGTGCAGGATGCCCAAAGGCAACCAGGATTCGCAAGTAGGCTTCAGTCACTCTCCTGTCTGTGGCTAGAACCGTTTGCAGCTGATTAACAACTGTAACAAGCTCTTCTGGTAATTCTCTGCAGGTATATCACAAAAAGAATTGCATTCAAAACAGGCCATTCAATTTTTCTGTCTTTCAAAGTTCACATTACAGCCACAAGCTTTAGTAAACTAAGTCCAGAACAAAAATCTGTACCTCTTGCCAAATCATATATTTTCAACAATTATTCAGAGAGCACTCAAATCACCAACCTTATAATAAATAAATAAATAAACAACCAAGGGGAAGAATCAATCTATGATGATAATGTTAACACGTGTCTTCGGTTCATAACATATCACTTAGTTTTGTTTGCTTTTGAAAAAAGAGAACTTAAACGAACTAGTAAATTATGAATGCAACAGTAATTGGAAATAATTGTGCTACTCTCCAACTGCCCTTTAAAACCCTAACCTTGAAAGTTAGGTGATAGCCGTTACCTGTCAGTAAATTTTACAAACGCTGTTTGAACAGAATGTAATGTGTACTGTTCAACCCAGGTCCAATGAAGGGAGAGAAACGAGAGTGAGAAATTGTGTCTGGTTTGTTTCTCGCACATGGTCCACAGCCTGTCCAACCAAGTAAGTCCTTCTACCACCTGTGGTAGAATAGGAATTAAATTTTCTGTAAATCAGAGGTTAAAGAACCAGAAAACAGAACTTATTAAACACTACCATAACATCCTAACAGAGGGATATCATTGTAGACATCCAATGTATGACACTGTGTCAAGTAGTGTCAATCCAGCTTTGATAGAAACAGTTGTTACAATCAAAGTGATCATGAAGCCTATGCTAAATGATTACTGCATGTTATGGTTATTTTTAGATCTGTCTTGGCAACATGTGGCTACTGCAATAGGATGGCTAAGGGTTTATACGTAACGCGTTATTAAGCTCAAAGTTAATACGTGACGTGTGAACTTTAACCCTTTGACTCCCAGAAGTGATTAACATAAAACTTCTCCCTACAATATCCATACATTCTTCAGTAAACAGGTAACGAGAATATTCAAACTTATCAGGTAGAAGCTGCTATCTTGATCTAGCACCAAGTTCTCATAACTAATTAACAAGGAAATGTGTAGCAGCTACAGGGGAGAATTAACAATCAGATCTTATCTTGGGAGTAAAAGGGTTAACAAAAGGCAAGGTAAGGTGAGATTTGAAGTTTTTCGTTTTAAATTCGTGAGCGTGAAGTACTATTTAAAGTGCAAGTGACGCGTGAAACGAAATTAGGACCCCCTCTCTTTGATTTCCTCTTGCAGAACATAACCTGGGATAGCATCACTTGTGGGGAAGAAATACCACGCACATCGACTGAAGAACGCTACTGCTGTAAATCAGGTTTCTTACTGTTAGTCACTTTGTTGAATCAAAAGGACTGTTCTGTTGAGTTTAATTAACAAAAGATTTTACCATCCAGTAGTTGCTGTCACTGAAAGTTTCTCCTTGATGGATACAACTGTCCATAACAGAGCCCAGCAATTTAAAGAAGGGTAACAGATGTACCACAACTGGGTGAGGAAGCGATTCTAACGGCAACTGACCTACAAAGACACGAACAGTGAGTAGAGCTTTGGGAATAGGTGAAAGATATCTAGCAACGTATAATAACACTGTAATTAAAATGAAAGACTAAACCAAAGGTTGTTAGAGAATCTTACGATAGATACCACGGTAATGTTATCTCTCATTATCAATACTCCTACCAGCATGAAAAGCGTTGCAAAGCTGAATCAAATTCCCGCTCTGTAAAGTTCCAGATGAATGAATCTTTTCTTCAAAAGAATAACACTGTCTGGCTTTAGCTTCTAACAGAGACAACCTACAAAAAGATCGTCACAACAAGAAGTTATACAAATAAATCATCACAAGTTTACATGCACTACATGTTTTCTTACTGTAACTTAAAATATACCAATTTTCTCTCAAGACAGTGTAGCTGCATGAATGAACTAGTAGCAATAGTGATGAACAAATACGTTACAAAATTACACCTTCCCAGCTCTCTGCAAAATGTACGGAAGCCCATAATCCTACTTCTACTGAAAGGTTGGTTTGTGAGGTTGCCACAGATAATCAATAATTATTCAAGTTTTTTTTTTGGTCAGAGACTGGGGCAGAACATACAAAAGACTTAAGATTAACAAATTTGTGCACGTGAGTGCAATCAAGCATATCGCTTTTCATCGTGAGTCGGTTTGTACAAAAGTGTGAAAAAAAAAAGACCTTTTGAATAGTAACTTGTTTTGGAAATTACTCTGTTATTGGTAGTGGCGGCATTCCCGACAACTTTAAGTTAATGGCCCAGCTGATGTGGTCATAATTGGGGATGTCACAGTTTAAGTGGCCATCCACCAGACCCCAGAGGGAAAGAGAAAGACAGGCCGACCGGACAAAAAACTAGGCGGCGGACAGTCAAGGAGGAGATGAAAGCCATACACCAGAAGTTGGGAAGGATCCAGAAGCGGGCCCAGGATAAAGAAAAGCCAAGAGGTGCGACGGGCTGTTAGTAAGTAAGTTACTGTTAAAGTTAATTTCAAGCGAATAGAGGTACCTGTTTGCCAAGCCTGAAGCCCTTTCCAATGGTGCAGTATTAACTGGAAACTGTCTCAGATGATTGAGAAGATCTGTGTTCTGTCTTAGGTCATAAGGGAGATGTTCAAGCATGCGGAAATCTGTAAAGTACCCAATCATAACTGTTTAACTCGTGTTCAAATCAAATCATGATGTATAATATGTACAAAAATAAATAAAAGGAAACGTCAAAGGAACTTTTTACAGCTTAGGTCAGCAAGGAAAACACGATAAACTATACTCTTAATGACCAGAGATAATTGGGGGGTATCCATTGAGTTCCAATAGGCCATTTCCGAATTACCTTTCGCCTCTTTTTCAAAACGAGGCCTGGTGCTCGACCATTCGTACGAAAATGAGTTTAATTTACATGTGAATGAAAAGTTATAATCATATCAAAGGATAAGCACCACGACTCGCTCTGAAAATGAGGCCAAAGGTAAATCGGAAATGGCCTATTGATTGCAGTGGAGACTGGGACCTGTGTGCATGTCATTCTCAATGGCTCTCACGGTCATTCCACAGAAATTGGGATACCGTGACAGCACTAGCCTCTAGAACTGATACTTTTTGCCTTGATTCCCCCTGATAAATGTATACTTCATTTTGCTACCTACCAAATCGTGTGGACTGGATATCGTTGAACCCAATTCTGAGTTTATCCATAAGTTGACTGCTATAAATTACACCAAAACTCTTCAGGTAGGATTTCAAGAGTGAGGCAACATCTCCTAGATGACAGGAACATAACTTCTTAGCACAAAGCACATCCACCACTGACTGCAAATAACCCAGCCTAGACGTCCAATCATAATGTGATGCTCTTTCCAAAAACAACAGCACAGCAGACTCCACCTGATGCACAGATGTGCCATTCTGGAGAATGTGCAACAATGGCAAGGACTGTTGTTTGATTGTTGACACAACAGAGTTTGCATGATATTCTTGGGCCGATGGAAAGTGCAGTATAGTAGATTCAAAATGGACGGCACTTTCCAAATTTTTAGTGTGCTTGCCAATAAGGTCTTTGACATCCTGAAAACAACAAATCATTGTCGCAGATGAAAGACACAATATTCATTACTTTATCTAAAGAACTAAACATCTAAGCAACCGAGATTGTTTAATAAGTTGCCTCATCAGCATCAACAAGCTTCTAAGCGAAGGCCTGTATCTTTTTACCCATTAGCACTCCCTGTAAACTATAAATTTCTTTCTGAGACCATCTAAGGCGCCTGGAAATATAATAACACTTGTCTACCAATTCAAGACTTCCTGGCCATTAACAATTTTCTTAACCCACTTGGAACTGCCAATAGTTTGATAGCTTTGGAATTTCTTTGATTCACATCTTTTGATTACAAAATTAATTACACCCATTTTTCGGCTTGATGGGTTACTTCTATTTTGTATAATTATGGGGCTACGCTCTGCGAGCTCCGCTATAATCCAAAGTGATGATAAGATAATGACCCAGACATTGATCGAAATTGAAAGTCATATTTATGAAAAGCCACTGAAATATTCATGTACCACAAAAAAAATTGTTATTAGCCCAATCAAATACTACAGAGTTGGCATTTATTCCTCTTAAAGATTAATACCTGTTTGTTTTGCACAGAAGTTTGATTTCTGGCGTAAACTTGATTCAGAGAAGTTGCAACAGCAGATAATTCTTCACTTCCTCCCTGAAGGAGTTGCTTTGTTAGTGAGGCTGCATGAAGCATATCCAAGAAAGAACCTTAAAGAAGTAACACAGCCAATAAGTTCTTTGACAGTTCTTTTTAATCCTTGAACTCCTAGAAGTGATTAACATGTAACTTCTCCCTATAATATCCATACATTATTTAGCAAACAGGTGATGAGAATACCCAAACTTATCAGGTAGAAGTTGTTATCTTGATCTACCATCAAATCCTCAAAACTAACCTACAAAGAAATGTGTTGCAGCCAGAGGGGAGAATTAACAATTGGATCCTGGGAGTTTAAGGGTTAATGAAATCTCCCTGCGTTTTTAAATACTGATGTACCTTCCTGCGTTTTTAAATACTGATGTACTTTCCTGCGTTTTTAAATACTGATGTCCCAAACGAGGAACAGAGGGAAGCTTTTGAGTGCCTATGTGGTGCCATATCTCAGACCTTCCAACTTCACTTATGTGAATCACCAACACATAATTCTCTTAACATTTAAGGTAGAGCTAAACTATACATTGGTGGAGGCATGGTGGCCTCATGGTTAGTGCACTCAACTCCAGATCAAGTGGTCCGGGTTTGAACCCTGGCCTGGGTCATTGTGTTGTGTTCTTAGGTAAGACACTTTACTCTCACAGTGCTTCTCTTCACCCAGGTGTACAAATGGGTACCAGCAAATATGCTGGGGGTAACCCTGTGATGGACTAGCATCCCATCCAGGGGGAGTAGCAATACTCCTAGCCGCTTCATGCTAAGGAAACCAGAGTTAAGCACTGGCCCCATGGGTCACTTGGGCCTGTATAAAGGCTTTACTTTTTTTAAACTATACATTATATGTAATGAAGCCTACCTCCTTTGTCTCTGTGAAAAGCTACAAGACAATCACATATTCTTTTGTCTTCAATACCAAGGCCATTAAGCATCATTTGGTAATCACAGTCATCATATTTCTCATCATCCTCCTTACAAAAGGCAAGAGTGTACTTCAGAAAACTTCAAGAAAACAGTAGTGGTGCTGCTGTGAATACTTTTTCCATGCTTTCAAGGAGAAAAGTTTTACAGCCATTCATTTTTTAAAAGAGTCCTGCTGATTATTGTTGTGTCCAGCCTCATATTTAGTCTGAGACTAGATAGTTGGTCTTACTACAGGAACTGTTTGCATTAAGCCATTCAAGACATTGCTACCCCACTTCTCGGATGAGTTGTTAATCTAACACTAATAACTCCTGAAATTTTGGAAGACTGCCCAGTCAATTCATATTCCAAGGTCCCTGAAACAAGGCCAAAGAGTGGACCTCTCTATTTTAAATGTCTTGCATGGCACACCCATGGGCTACCACACCTCCAACTGGTCATCATGTTTAATCTCATTTTTAACATACCTCTCCCAACATGAAAATTTCCACTCCTCTATTGCGCATTGCTCTTGAGATCTCACCATATCTTGGATCCATGGCAAGAATCAACCTGAAAAGAGACAAAAACCCTCATGGCAAATCACAAGAAATGCAACAGCTTTCTGGTAAATACAAAGCATGTGTATGATAAATACAATCTAACCTGAAATTGGGATGTGGCTTGATGGAGGGGATTTGGCCATCAATAACCCCTCTTTCATCAATGGTTAAGACACCTCCAGGTTCCAACAGAGCATTCAGTCTGTCCAGGACAGATGGACTGGAACGAGAAAACAAGTGAAAGTTAACAAAAACTAAAAAACTCTTGAAGTTAACATGACATGACAATGAAATTGTTCAACTTCCTTTCATTCACCAACCATCAACATTAGATAGGATATTTAGTGGTTGCTTGACAGAATATACACCCGCAGATGCTATGTTTCAATTTGCCTAGGAATTAGCAGGTGAAGAACAGCCAAATTCTTATTTTCATACAATTATTTCTGTTACCTGCAAAAGTTAACATTGTCTATCAGAAGCCAGTAACCAGACTTGAGGGCCTCCACAAGTTGTCCATCAACCCATTCAAACTGCCCACCACAGTGAGAACTGTCCTTGTTGGCTCTGAGTTTCTTTTGTAAGGACTGAACCATTTCCATGATGTTAACTACATAAAAAAGAAAATATCAACCAACTATTAAGACCTTGCATAACCACTGGCCTAGAGATTAGCCCACTGTACTCCCTATGAATGGGTCTGCATTTCACCCCTGACCATTATGTTGTGTTTTTAACAAGATACTTCCCTCATGCAGAGCCTCTCCACACCCAGGACTATAAAAGAGTATTAGCTTCTGTCAAGGAATGTGACAAAATACTGGGAGGAGACCTGCCATGGACTAACAATACCCCTAGTTCCTTTAAGGTGAAGAGGTTAGCTCAGGCTGTGTAGCCTATTGGTTCAAGAGAAGACTTTGCCTTTGTAAGTTTAAGTTCCAGCACAAAAGCTTTGAGAAACTTGACAACCAAGGGTGACATTATTTGGTACAGTTTGCACAGAATACAAGTTTGTTCATCTTTAGTAATTTAGTGTCAAGATGTTCATTGTGTGCAGACAGCATCCATGATTTAACTAGATTTCATTTGCAAACTCTGAGTGGATTAAAAACCTAGCCTGTCATCTTGTCATGGCCAGACAAGGTTCCAAGAAAATTGTCTCAACAAGCAATGCAGTCAAAACATCATCAGCATCATTATGTGTTAGTCTACATGCAACATGATTAAAAGGTTCCAACAGGGAGCATTTAAACTAAGCCCTGGAGCAACCAGCAAATGAGTACATGATGAGACCCCATAAACAAAAGCTATCAAAAGAAACTACTAGGGGATAGAACAAACCTGCATCCAAAGAATCAAATTCATAGTTATCACAGATCTCCTTGACTTTTGTAAGGAGATGTTGCAAGTCATCCAGTCTCTTGTGAGATAGCATTGCAGTGTTTTCATCTTCAGAAACTGTGCAAAAAAAAAAATACCATTAGCCTCAGTAAAGGTAACTACGATATAGAAAGAAAGTCCATAGGAAAACTTTTATTTAAACAGGTGGTAGGCCAAGTATAGTTGTTATATCTCTGCACAGTCCCAGTAGACATCCCTCTCCATTACCATCTCCATCCTTGATCCCCTGGACAACACCATATGAAGTAAATTACTTTTCACAGAATGGTGAGCTCAATTAATATTCTTCATGTAAGGCAATAATACTTTAAGGGTAATATTATGTTAGTTTAATGTTGAACAAGTTTACTTCTTGATACCTTTGTGGGATAAAGGGAGAAGAAATGACAATGCAAAATCATGCCTGATTCTACTTCATTTGGGAGAAGACAAAAAAAAAATACAATTCAAGCCACAGTAATTTAACATTGCCCACAAACCCCATTTGGAAATGTGCAGCAGCCTTTCACACCTTTGCATGACAGCCTTTCCAAAGTGTTTTATTTCCCTGGTAGTCACATAATTTGTCTGTATACCTTCAGAGTTGTTACTTGAGAAGGATACCCACAGCTTATACAGAGACGATATTTCTTGCAAACATGTACTCATCTGATCATTGCAAATCAAAATCTCTTTTATTATGGTAGGGATAAGCTGCTTGGTTTCACCCATGATATCTCTCAAATGTCTGTCGAGATCAGCCTGTGAGCAAAAAAATTAAGCCTGAGCAAAAATTATGAAAATTACTATCACTCCCTCTTATGTCTCTTCATAAATGGAGAAAACCACACACACTAATAGTTGTTACATCCTCACCCAGCCAACCTTTCATTATTTTTATCTAGGACCAATTTAACTCAATGGAACAAAAGGATGATGTTTGAAAAAACATATGGTTGTCAAAGGTAAGTATATCTCCCTGCTGGACAAGCAACTTTCATGCTACCTTGCCTACTGGGCAAATAGCATGCTGAATTCCAGATTTTTAAACACTATGTTGTACCTGTTCAAATCCCCCCAGAAGTTCAGTGGTGTCCATGGCACTATTCATGGCCATCACTTCAAGTCTATTTCCTGTCAGCTGGGCAACTAGATGGACTAGGGATGTCTTTCCACAAGATCTTGGACCAACCTAGTTAATGAAAAAGACAAATTTTGGGCACAACTTGTTATGTTTAAAAACATGTTTCACACATCACATACAACAAACATCTTTTGTCACTGGGGAATGGAAAACTTCCACCACAAGAATGTCCTGCGACAAACAAATATAGAATTGTATGTGATACTTTTTTCCCCTGACTTTTTTCAGTTTCAAAATTTCAGTAATTTAACATTACTGTACTAAAAGGCAACTGAAATTAAGCAGAAACAAGAGAACCTGCCTCGAAATTGTAGGACAAAAATGAAATGGAATGTCAAATTAAAAGTCTTGTCCCAAAATAAAGCACTTTCCTGAACACTATTCTTAGGATTATCCATGTGGTGCATTGATACTCACCAGTACAGCCATCCAGTTCATGTCTAGACAGGTCATGAGTGACTCCATAGCTGGCAGACAACGATGAAGCAATTGTAAGGGCCTTCCACCATTTGGTGACTGGTTCATTAAGGAACACCTTGGAAGCCATGAATGGCCAACCTTTCAAGAGAGCAGTAATAATCATTAGTATAATAACATTGCTCCGACCAGTGATTATAGAGATGCTCACACATGCTCTGATTGGTCAAGGAATGCATTATACCTCACTATAATCACCTCGCATGAGGTGATTGGATCAGGAGTGCTAAATTTCAAAATTGTGTTTCATCAGTGTTACCAGGGAACTGATGAATGTGAAAAAAAAAAATTCAATTCCCTGGAGCCCAAAAGATGCTACTAAGTTTGGAGTAACACTTTTCAAAAGAGAGATATAAAGTTTTTTCTGATTGAATTAAATGAACCTGTTAAATTATTGTGGAAACTGGCTCTTTTCTTTGATACAAGTAATCGGAACAACTAAAACAGAATGGTTTATTTATTTTTTTTTTTTAGCATCAAAATATATATTTACAACAGAATTCAAAAGTAATAACGCAATTATACTGAAACAATTCTTCCCCTCAGGCTCAGTGAATATTGTTGAATAATCCCTTCAACCTAGCATGGGCATTACTCAACAACATTTATTTCACCTTGAGCAAAGGATTGTTAATAAGATGTGAAGACAAATCTGAGATCATTTTTGTTGGAGAACTTTGAGTTAATCCTCATGTACTGCACCAAAGTTGATAGTTTGCCTTGCAGACTCACCTGAACATAGCCTGGTGTGATGTAAAATGATTTTTGCACAGGACCAATCTTATCAATCTGCCTTGAATTCTCAAATATGGACTTAAACAACTTGAATACCTAATCCACCCATAAGCAAATAAGAAAATAGATGAAAAGATGGTAGGTTTTCTTAAGATCATTCTGTGGTATGCAACCGTCTTTCTCACAACTTCACAAATTCACTACTTTTTGTGTAATTTGCACCTATACATAAACACCTATCCAATAAATGTGGGCTGTTTCTCTATAGTTGGAGCTTGCCACTGAAGTGAATCATCATCCCCTGTGAGACAAGTGGGGTAGCCCATCATTTTTCTCTCTTTTTCTTCTTGGATAGGAAAGCATTTAAAACTATCCATAAAACTGAAACACAAGTAGAACAATTCTAACTCTGGAAAACAATTCTAAAAATATAATTCTGGTATGTGCTTGTAAATCTTATCATAAACACTTAATAAGGAGTTACTACACATGTACACATACTACTGCTCCTAAATTAATGTACTTAGGAAATTTTTTTTAAAGGCCTACTTTAGCTTAATAAGGTAAACTTACTCTTATCAGAAGCAAACAGAAACCAGTCTTACCATCTGTTTATCTTGAAGCGTCCTCATTCTGTCACAGTAAATAAGATGCACAAACTGACCAGGGTTCCAAGTGCCACAATTCTAGGAAGCAAAGAATTTATAAGCAGGCCTTTTGAAATAACAATACAAACTATGTTGCCAACAACATAACCTATTTTGTGTCAATAATTAAGTCACAGAAAGAAAACTTACAAAAATATACCTGGTATTTTATGAGCAAATCACACCACCTAAACACATCTCTTAAGTTAAGTTCCCACGGGCCACCTTTCCTTCCCCAGTTTCCTTCCACAACAGTCTCCTCATGAATCTAGCCCACAAGAAAATAATAAAACCTTCCTTAAACAAAGAAGCAACAACAAAAACAAAAAACTGAAAGGTAAAGTTTAGCTAATAATCAGGCTCTGTAGATATTTTCAAATGATTGGTAAATAAGACTATGCCCTCAGCCAATTAGCCTTTTACAAGAAGACCTGACACCATTTTTTTCACTTAAAATACAATATTGTGCATTTACCTGCTGATTGAATGTCACCATCTTTTCCAAGATGTCCTGATTTATTTGTGGATAAAGAGCTTGTGTGATGAACAGTAAGTCTGCTTTGGAGAGTGCCTCAACATAAACCTGATAGAAAACCATAATTAAGTCATTTAATATGTACCGGCATTTACACATAATAGGAACCAATGGCATTTGACACAGGGCTGTGAAGGAAATGAGAAACATGAGTGGTTATGACAAACAACCACAGCCCTTTCACTCCCAAGATCTAGATGTCTCTTCAATTGTCTTTATATCTCCTATCTCTGCATACATTTTGATAAAATTTTAGTCCTCAGAATTTGGTTTCAAATCAAACCATATTCCTCCATTGATGTTTTCTGTCTTCTCTTTGTTCTTACTGCTTTTTCTGCTTGAAATATTTTGATAAACAACTGTAATGGAAAATTAATTTTTGATCATTTGAGTTAAAAATGTTGCAGATGACAAAGAATTCTTAGTTGATGGAAGAGATTTAAATCTCTTTAACAGAATAACATCAGTTTACCTGAGTGAACCTGTTAAGGAAAGACTTTGGCAATCCTTTTCTTCCTCCTCCCTGGTTTAAAGGATTTTGACAGGCAAACAGTCTTGTCTGGTCAGGTTGGACTTTGAAAGTCATTCCCAGCTCAGGGATATAAACCTGTAACAAATTAAACTAAATGTTATTGAATTTTTTTCCTGAGATAAACTTACAAAGTGACTGGCTGAGTTGAGAACAGAATAACACAAAAAAGGAATCACCTCTGCTCTGTGGTCCAGACATGCATTGAGTCCCTCAAGAACAGACTGTGATGCTAAATTGAGCTGAATCACAAAACCAAAGACGTCATTAATAGTTCCTGAGGGAAAATCATCACTTTTTTACCTAAGTGACCAACTATGTAAATAGTGATATGTGTTTCATCTATTCTTAAGTTCTACCATAACACTACCATACATATAGCTTGAATTAAATCATGTAATGCAAACCTATTAGATTTTTGGTTTACATAAAGGTTATATCTGTAAAACTGCAGAGCTAGTGTCAGTGAAGATTGGTCACCTGTTTGTCAGGGCACTGAAAGCTAGCTTGAAGACATCTTGTTTGCTATATTTACATGCACTTCCTGTCATTTAAATAGAATTAAATAAAAGATTTGCAAACAGGATCATGCCCTGATACCTCTGTAGCTGGCTTATTCTTACAAGTCAATCCTTGCATCACCTCCCTATTTCCAATTGCAGACTTGCTCTGCAGACCTAATTCTGGAAAATCTAGGTCTCTGAAGGAAGTCATCATGAGGTAAAAGACAAAAAATTACAAAACAGAATACCTCATCCAGGACAATCCAGGAACCTGCTTTCAGTGCCTTCAAGAGTGGACCATCCCTCCATACAAACTGTCCTGCTTCCCCACCCTCAACAGGCAAGTCACATCCAAATAAGTCTGTCACATCCTTTAACAACAATGAAAGAGCATGAAGTTGAATACAGAAAACAAATCTACATGTAAATTGCCACTACTTTCCTACCTGAAGCTGATACTGATTGAACAAACAAAGTTAGGAACGTATCCCACATTTTTCTTATCAACCCTTTAACCACTATATAAATGAATAGCATCTTACTTCTTCAAACAGCATCAAACATTAAGGTCACAAAAATAACTTAGTAAAAGACAGCAATGGTAAATCAATTTACTTACAGTTTGCTCAGAAAGGTTAATTCTAATCAATTCATGGCCAGATGCCTTAGCAATGGCATGGACAAGACTTGTTTTGCCAACTCCAGGAGACCCTTCCAACAAAATGGGGCGAGGTAACTGAAGGGCACGCAAGATACGCTGTGCATTTTGTGAAGTTGTTGGTGAGCTGAGGGTGTAGGTGCTACCAAAATCTTCTGGTAGAGGTTGTGGTCCTAAGGAGGATTTCATTTACAATATTCAGTATCAAATGATATAGATAATTCAGACTAAAGATAAAATTAGAGGGCCATTACAAGTCCTTTCTTGGAAAAGAAGACATTATAGATCCAAATTCTCTTCCAATGCAGGTTGCTTGTACTGATCACTGTCCCTGTGTCTTTAGCTCATCATAACCAAGAAGTATCACTTCTACTCCTGGATGGCACTTACATGCACATCCACATAAAAGGCTGACTAAAAATCATTTCCATATGTACCTCTTTGTATATAAAATGGCCATATACCAAAAAAATCTGGTCTTTCATTGATATTTTTCATCTGTGCATTGTTAGGATATCCACAACACTGCATTTCCTCTTCGTCTTGTTCCACCTGTCTCTTCAGAAATTCAAGGCAAGCTTGGTACGCGTCTTTTACACCACTTGATGTTGCAGATGTAGTTGTGGCTGATGTTGATAACGATGATGAAACCAAGATATTGGACCCTGCACCCAAGGCATCCAGAAAAACAAGGCAGGCACCATGGACATAAGCTAAGGCTGATGAGAGTAAGACTTTGTCACCTGTATTTTCATCTGCACCATTCAGAGTTGTTGAGAAACTGCATGTATTTATAAAATTCACCCAAGACAACAGATCTCTGATGCTCACTACAAATCTAGAGAAAAAGTAAAACCATTGTTATTATTAATAACAAAAAATTTCGATATTGCAAGCTCATGATAAAATCTGTGATATTTGGTTGTTGATAATATTATGCAGCATATCCTTGAGAGCTCATTTGAAATGGAATAATTCTTACAGTAATTGCCGTTTTCAAAATGTAATATGATATTCTCAACTGTTTCACATCCATCAAACAAGGCCATAAAACAGGTCTATCAGCTCTTGAACCACACAAGGCAATTGTTATTGAACATTTCCCTGTGATCCATTCATTCTTTCTGAAATACCAGCAATGAACATGTGGGATCACAATTAAAGACTGAACTTACCTCTTTCCAAAGTCTGAGCTATGAAACCATTCTATGAAGTCCACCATAGCTTCTCCAATTCCTGATATACCTATAACAGAAGAATACTTGTCCTTAAAGATGGCAACTTGCAAGCTAGGAAAACATTTTGTGTTCGTTTTTCTAGCACCTCTTAAGGAAGGCCTTCATGGCACCATGCCACCAAATATGACACAAATGAAGGCATCCAGTATGACCTTCTTACCTTGACAGGCTGATTTCAGAACAACTCCAGGCTTGATGTTGTGTTCTATAATCTGTACCAGGTCTGCCCTGGCATCTGAAGGTGGGCACCAAATCTCTGTGAACCTGTTCCTAAGGGCTGGAGATAGCTGCAAGAGAGAAAAAAAAGAAACATAGTTTGACTTTCCAAGTGTGTAAAAGCTGCCTTATATATTTATAACTTCACTAACTGTTTTGTTTTACTAATTTTATCATTAGTGCTGTTTTTCTCTGATGCTGATCCCTAGAAACAGCCAGTTGAGGATAATTTTTAAGTAAGATTACCCGTGGCATTTTCAGTGGTGATATGACAAGCAGTTGTCAGATTCCTTTTATGTTGTAAGTTTTCACTTTATTAGGAGGTCATCAATAAATATACATGTACATGGCATAGTTCACATGTACTGCCATGTTCCTGCCTCCATGACATACAATACTGTTTTGAATTGTTATCACCAACATCAATTTTAGTGACAGTGTTTCTAAGAATTATTCTTCCCACATCTTACACTCAAAGATGCATTATTAAATGTCTTAATAAACACATAGCACAAGCAAGGAACGTTGCCAATATTTAGTGCCAAATTGCAGAAAAAACATCAGATCAATGTCAGTATCTGAGCAACTGTCCACCTACCCCTCCCCTAACCCAACATGAACCCTAACTTATTATCAGTTGACTGTTGTTGGGTTATGGGAGGGGTAGTTGCTCAGATACTAATAAGGACCCAACACACCTTACCTCTTTCTTGCCAAAATCTCCACCAGGATTCATGGTTCCTATGATTTTGAAATCTTTGTGTGCAACCAACATGGCAACATCTTCTCCAACAGGATCTCCACCATCACTGCCTTTTTCAGCAAGAACTAAAGTCCTCTCAGGTTCTAGCACACTGTTGAGTCTCTCCAACACCGAGTCATCAGCTAAAGAAATCTCATCTACCAAGAACATTGCTCCATGTTTCATTGCTTGTACAAGAGGTCCATCACACCACTCAAACAGCTTGGTAACTTGCTCATCCTTTGAAATGATACAACATAACTTGTCTTATTCATGAAAAAAATCCATCTGTGCAAAGCATATACTTTTATGCAGTTTAAATGAACTTGTACCCAGTGAAAGACACTTAAGACTATGAAAAACAAAGAGTAAAGACCAACAAAATAAATCATCTATGTCTTCCAATTCTCCACTTATAAAATTAAAGCAATTCTTTTGATGGGCTTTGGCTATATGGAAAGAGCAGTAGATTCTTCCATTACTACTGGGGTTAGCAGGACCTCTAACCTGTTCCTCCTGGCCTCTGTGTCGCACAGGTCTCAGACCTCCAAGGAAATCAGCAGACTCAGAATGCATGTGACAGTTGACAGCAAATAACTGCTGTTTCCACAGAGCAGCAAACAGTTGGCAAATGGTGGTCTTACCACAGCTGAAAGGCAAAGGTAAACACAGTGATATTATAAAAAGGATTCCATAAGTTTGATATGTTGAGACAAAGTGATGAGTGCAACTAAACATGGAGTTGTTTCTCAAGATGCAGCAGGCAGGACTACTCATCAAAAGCTGCATTTAGAAGCTCAACCAGGATAAATATAACATTTTCTTAGGCATGATACTTCACTCTCACACTAAATCTCTCCAATGTAGAGCATGAATGGGATTCTGAAAGTTATCAAGGAAATTTGAAAACATTTTTAAGAGCCCATGATGGAATGGTAACATCCAGGAGTAGTAATGCCTCTAGCCATACACTAGAGATGGGATGTACTCAAAAAGCTATGGAAGCATGTCTCATATGTTACCTTGGCCTTCTTAATTAACCACTGCTTATATCTTATGGTCTGTATGTATACGATTTAGGTACTAAGATCATAATTTGACACACGTCACTGATTATATGGAAATCAAATGTTTTCATGTTACTGCATTAATGATTACACATTTTATTTTTAATTGCATCCACAACTCCTCTAACAATTTCACTTAAAGCCAACCCTTACTACATCACAATACCCTGTTTCTCCAACAAGCAAAACTGGTTCTCCAAACTTAAGGGCTCTTCCAGCCAAGACAGCAAGCCTACGCATACTGTAAGTCCAGACAATGTGTTTGAATCCCTCCAATGGTGCTGTTGTGACTTCTTCCATGAGACTTGAGACCCTGTGAGAATGCTTTTGCAAAGAAGGATATCCAAACAAAGAATCTGGATCAAAACTTCGCTTCATTTGCTTTTCAATAACTTCCTGGATGACTTCGCACTCTGAGGGATTTCTGCATCGACCAGCAAGTAGCATGTAACCTGTAAACAAAACACATCTGTCTTTAGTAATTAGAAAAAAAGAAAACTTGCTGAAATAATTTAAAGAAAGTTGCCACAGCACAGATGAGGCTATATGCATCTCATGAATTACATGTTTTGATGTTATGAATATTTACCATCCTCTGCAATGTGCTGATCCCAGTCATAAAAGCCACTTCCTTCTACATCAGGAGTCTTGCTGTACCTCTCTGCCCAGCGAAACAAATCTCGTAGGGTGATAAAGCCTTGTTTACCAGCAAATACATTGGTACTCCTACGCCGTGCCTATAAAAGTACAAAATAGAAGTTAACACTCCTGAAGTCAATAGAATCTTGTTGTTAATTGTGTAAATTGAGGCAATGATGAAGAGGTGAAAACAGCAGAACTGCAATCTAGAGGTCCCAAGTGCAAGTCCTGCTCTGACCACCAGATGAATTTCTTTCTTAGTGGTTCTGAATTCAACTCCTCTGTGACACTTGTCATATCCAACTGGTTTGCTTCCTACTAGTTAGGGTATTAAATGATGTTACTGTTTGATCTAGTTTATTTCTTAAAGCTTATTTAATAAGGGCCACTGGTTTAACAGTGTTTCTCTGACTGTCAATGGTTGTCCTTTGTAAATAACTTCTTCTTTAATTACAATATTAAAGTGGCTCACATACTTGTAAGGCAAGCATTATTGACACCAGTTTCTTAGCATAAGACAGTGGTAATCTACAGCGCTGGTGAAGAATAACCTCAAGTTCCTGGCTGGGAAGCTCATCAAAATGAAGTTCTACGAAGCGATTTCGAAAAGCTCTTGATAACACCTGTAAAATGAAATAAATTAACTCTCAATGGTGAACGAAATATATACAACAGAGAGAACAATGCAGAATCTTCATGATTCCAAAATGTGTGAATTTGGTGTTTAAATAACAGATTAAACAATTCTAGGGTAAACCTTTCTTCCACCATAAAGTCCAGGAGGATTTTGTGTAGCAAAGAGCATAAACATTGGATGAGCTACAACTGTTTCTTGTGTTTCTGGAATAAACAGCTCTCTGTTATCATCTAACAGCTGCAGAATAATAAAAAGAAAAAAAATGAAAAATAAGTACAGTGCAAACTTCAGCCAAAATTTTCACTCACTGACTCTTCAAGAAAGTTTGCAAAGACCACCAATTAACTTTCAACATATTACAAGTCAATTAAAACAGACAAAGTTGCAAAGACTGAGCACTACCATGATTAATATTAATACTTCTTATGCATGTAAAATTATTATTATTGTCAATGTTGTTATTATAATCAGGTGTGACATTATAGAACAACTAGCAAGTCAGTTCATTCTTCTACAAGTTGGTAGTTTCACACCAAAATCTCTTTAGAAACATTACTTGAAGGCTATTACTTTAAAATGTATTTAATTCACTATGTGTCTATGATCCCCAGTCAACAATCACAGAGTTTATCACTGGAATAAAACAGGAACATGTTCATATAATTGTTTCAGTTTTAAAGTAATTTGTTTGTAAGTTTGGTATCTTGACCATACACTAAAAAATTGAGTACTTACCCTATTAAGGGCCTCTAAGACATCTGAAGGGGCTAGATTGAGCTCATCCAAAATGATCCAGTGGCCCTTTCTCATGGCATCAACTAAAACACCTACAAAAATTATAAGGCCTGTTAGCACTGTCAGTGATGTTCACTCTTGTACTCATTAATGTCTACTTAGACTGCTGGCCTATATTTCAGTTAAATCAATTTTTGTTCTACGCATTTATCACAAGTGGGGAACCATGAATAATTTGGGTTCCTAATAGGAATTAAAATCAAGTCTTACCTTCTTTAAAAACCAATTTGCCATTCTCATCTGAAGTGTAACAACCGAGATATTCTTGGATATCAGTGTGTTCATGATTATTAATTCTAACACAATGGTTCCCAGATGCCTTAGCCAGCCACTGAATCAAACTGGTTTTACCCACTGAGGTTTCTCCCTGAATTAAAACTGGAAGCTTCCTGGAAACAAAATTGTATCAAAATAATATCAAAATGCTGATCCTGATCCTGACCCCAATTCCTACAGTAATCATTATCATTTCCATCAAGCTACTGACATTTGAGCCCATTTAACTTCCAGTACATTTTCACCACAAAATGTGACAGCTGGCAAACAGAATAAAAAATAGTCTTGGCCATTGAAATGAAGGTGGGGCCATCTCTCTAGAAGACTTATAATTCCCAAATCCTCATTACCCTAGATTGGACACTCTGAACTCAACATCAACAACAAAGCTACATGATGAATAAATGGGTAAGTTCCTAAAGAAACTGTGGTGCTGCTTCGGTGGGAGAGTATAACAGGGTAATTTTATTAGTATTATTAACTGAGTTGATTACATACACTGGCCACCATAAAGGGTTTTAAAGCTGATGTTTCAAGCATTAACCCTTCATCTATCACTCTGACAAAAAGTAATGCTCGAAACATCAGCCATTAACACTTTATGGTGGCCAATTTATGTTATTAACTCAGTTGATAATGCTAAATTACCCTGTAGCACTGCTACATAGTTATGTAATAGTTGATTCTTTGAACCTTTTTTGGCATTATATCCCCTAACAGTACATTGCATAGAATTTCTCCTGACAGTTTCACCACTGAATTAAACATTAATGTCACAAGTTAGAGTGATTACTGGCTGAAGGAGCCCTAAATGGAAGCACAAATTCTCCTGTTAAGACAGTAAAATTCACACCCTTCCTCCCTTAAGTTTTTTATTGGAAATGGTGGCTACAACAAAAAATAACGGTATCATGTAACTGAAAGTTATTTAGTTCCCCTCTTGTCCCTCTGCTATTAATAACAAATTATTTTGCAGACACTTTTAGTACCATTAATAAGAACAATTCAGATAAAGAATGGGCCAAATACCTGGCAGATACAACCCTGGCAAGATCCTTCAAGTTAGCCTTCACTGAAGCTGTTAAGACATACTCATTTGACATCACAGGTTCTTTGCTTCCTAAAGCAATCCAAAATCCTTCAAAATTACAGTAGTGTCCAGAATCTTGTGGCTTAGGCAAGGGCTGCTTTAACATACTGGCAGCATTAACATGGCCCAGGATGTGATGCTCAATGAGAGACTGGACAGAGGGGTGTGATGAACGATCCAGTTGTGTCAAAAAACTCAAACAAAATCCCTGTACAAGAGTAAAAAATTATGTGAAAAGTCAAGCAGACAAGTGATGAAAAAAAGGAAATATCAATTTGGGCATTATTAGCTGATCCAATACCAAACTCTTGGAGCTAACATCTTAAGAATTATATGGCAGACAGTAAGGAGAATTACTAGTGAGATCTTGGAGAGAAAGGGATAAGATAAAAAGCTCAGGTTTGAGTTGCTGTGTATGAGTACCAAAAGTGTTCATGAATAGGCCACCTCTTCCTAATCAAAATTTTGTATTACAAATCACCTCCTTTAATCTACATAGAAAGCCCACGACAGTAAACATCAAGTCACAGTACAATAGCCCTTTAACTGCCGAGACCTGATTGTTAATTCTCCCCTTCAGTTCTGACACATTTCTTTGTACATTAGTTAGGAGAATTTGGTGATGGGCCAAGATAGCCACTTATTTAATACTAAGTTTGAGTATTCTCGTCATCTGTTTGCTGAATAGTGTATGGTTATAAGAGGTTACAAGAAGTTCATGTTTATCTAATGTGAGAGTAAAAGGCTTCATAACAGTCTTGCAGTCACCAAAAATTTGTTTCAGTGTAAGATAAAAGTGACTTACCTCATAGATAGACCTCAGAACATTCTGATGGGGATTTATAGCTGCATATCTCAAAGCACGGCACAGAGTCCGCAAACTAAAAGAAAATGGAAAAAGTAATGTCCAATATAAGAGTGACATTATTATTGGGAAAGGACTTCACTACAACAAGGCAATAATTATTGATATAACGTTACTGAACATGCAGCCATTCTGACTTGTTGGTCAATTGTGCTTAGAACAGTAATCACCTGAACAGTTAATACATTGATAAATTGGACACTTTTAAAAGGTTGAGAGATCAAAAGATTCCATGTGAACACACAGAAATAGCAAAAGCTTAACTTTGAGATTATTGATCAAAAACTGGATTGATACTGACCTGTAATGAGGCTTGTGTCCTGTGCCGTCAGTCAGCTTTTCTTCTGCTTCATGCTTGACTGTGAGGTAAAATCTGGCAATAGTGATCGATATCTTTACTCCTCTGTAAAATACTTTAATACAGTAACAGTGCTACCCAAAATCTAACATACTAACCTAACAATTCCATCCACAATGGCTGAATTGGGTGACAATCCTTGCAAGTAATCCACAACCAGGGTTTTCAGGTCTGCTGTACTCTCTAATTCTCTGACAAAGATTTCTGTGAACCTTGAAAAGGAAAAAAGCAAACATAATTATATGACTGAGTTCACCAAGACTAAAAGAAATGTTGATTTTATCAGTGATTTGACCACCAGAAACAATCTACACAGTCAATTGAAATGACATCAAATGCATAAACATGCATGTGGGGTACAAGAAATCACAAAACAAGGAAAGAGAGCAGTCCACAACAACAGCTTTTAAACTATCACGATTTCCATATTTGTATGTGTTTGAAACTATTAATTATGAGATATCCCCAATATAAAAGTTAAACAATCTGACAGAATCTGCCAGGATAACAGACACATCCAAAACATGGGTCATTCTATGAAAGATGTAAAGAATTTATCAATCATTGTATTGAATTAAAAATTTCCAACTATGAAAGATGTTATCTTGACTTAACTATCCATCTTAAACATGAACAGCTCATTAAATAAAATCAAGCATTTTTATTTCTCTCTAAATCAATAACCTGTTCCTAATTCCTGGAGGCAGATCTTTCTTTCCCACATCAGTAGCTGGATTCATGCAGGCAAACAGGCGAAAGTCTTCATGTCTCACAGTAGGAGTAACATCCCTAAAATCAGCAAACCATATTCAAGATCACAGTTATTTTAATGATAACTTCTTCTCATAAGTGATGAATTGGATCAGAAACCAAAGGGATATGAACCTCTCAATGCTAAAATTAAAACTTCCACCGAAGATAAAAACTTTCAGTTGTTATTATGATGTAAAATAAAATAAAAATTGGAAAATAAATATAGAAAGAGAGACAGCTTAGTGCTGATAATTAATTAAAAAGGGCCTGGCTGAAAAGCAAAGCATCTACGATACATAATTATAGTTATGAAAGTTTGACAAAGCTCAATAGCCCTTGTTTATTCGTTTTTTTGAGATGTGTTATTTTTTATTTTTGATGTGTATGAAATTATGCAGGACCCCCCTTTCACCCTACTCATAATACTGAATGCATTAACCATCTTAGGTTAGATCAATTCTATTTCTGAATGCAAATTTAAGTTCTCACCCTCTTTCCATTAGCACCACTGATCCAGATGAACTCTCCAACAAACCACAAAGACATTCCAGTGTCTCGGGTGTGGCCAAATTGATCTCATCCAGTAAAACCCAGTCACCATTTTGTAAAGCCTGCACAAGTGTTCCTTCCACAAATCTAAACGCCAATGCACTCTCTGCATTTTTCTGCTGTTTTTGGAGCTGTTGGATGTCCTGAATCAGACCTTGCCACTTAACCAAAAGCTTCTCCATTTGTTTATCTACATATACACAGTTGCAGTTTACAAAGAAAAAAGTTTGAAAAAAGGTTAAATGTTATGAGCCTAGTAAATAGGATCCTAGCTCACAACAAGCCACCCTCAACATAAATTTATAGTGAGTTTTCACTGACAGCTACTTAATCTCTGTCCAGTTTTGTTTCCCTTTGCAGATTAGGTCACTGTATTAAAATACTTAATAAATGTTGAATTATTTTGTGAACACATTTCAATCAAAGCTCACCTTTCTTTACTCTTTCTGTGGCATTTTTTTGACTATGAATCATTAACTTAAACAGGATCTCCCACTGTCCTTGAGCAAAGCATCTCTGTATATGACTCAAGAACTTCACATTTTGTTTCCTTGAGAACGTCTTGCAAAACAACATTTCAAACTTTTCCCTCACAGGAGCCACAATCTGTTTCATCTCCACAGGTTTGTAACCACCAAGTAGATCTGAGCTGTCACTTTGCTGGCTCATATTTACAACTTTTAAACTGACTGCACACTGTGTTGCTAAGTACTGTACTGTTGATGTTTTCCCAGTTCCTGTCTCCCCAACCAGTAAAATAGGTTCACTGTTTCTGATACAAGCTGCAACTTTCTCAAGCAAAACTAAAGAATGTCTTGTATGAGCAAATTTTGAAAGGTTATTTTGACCAAAAGAAATTCCCAGGCTTTCATGAACTTTCTTTTTCAGTGTGACCCTACCAACTGTCATTGACAGTGGAGAGGTATGAACATTTGGTTTGTAATTCATGAAGAAAAATTCAATCTTTTCTTTGGTCAAGCCTAACTTGGCACCAACTGCTAAATCAATCAAATTTTGATCATAAGTTTTTGGTAAAGGAGCACTGAAACAGTCATGAGCTTCAAGGAAAACCTCTTTCGAATCAAGCAACGTAGGTGCACCACAAGCTGTTACAGCTATTCTACTACACCACTTCATTAAATCTCTACTAGAGCTTTGCCGCTTATCGTAAGGAAGGGAGCACTTTGCTGTGTCTTCACTGGAGACAAGGCAAGGATCTGCAGATAACATGCAGTAGATATCCACCAGCTTTGTTGCAATATTTTCTACGTCTGGGTACTTCTGGACAACCACCTAAAAATTATTTAAAGTTAATGATTAATAAGAATTTCCTTACACTCAATTTGAACAATGCAAACTTGTTAGTGATTTATTTTTAAACCCCTCACATCCTAACATCAGTATGCACATTCTCCATACTGTTCTCTATACATTTCATAGGGTACTGGCAAGGAGAATTTGTATAACAATTAATAGCTTCTTTAGCTGAGGATCATTTCCTTTATTCTTATGATCTTAATGCTTATTTCAGGGTTGATATTGTAAGGAGAAATTAGATGCTAGTCACTTGTAGGGGTAAAAGGGTTGATTTTTAATGTTTTTCTCTAATTAAGCATAAATTTGAAGAGAAAAATTGAAATTTAAGAAGTTGTTTGTTAATTCTTCAACTCCCATAGGTGACCAAGACAGAATTTCTCCTTACAATATCAATACAATATCAACCACATAAGTAATGAGAATAAAGAAAAATATCAATTTGGGAATAATTAGTTGATCCAATACTAAATTCTCTGAACTAACATTATAAGAATTGTATGGTTGACAGTAAAGAGAATTACAAATTTGACCTGGGAGTTAAAGGGTTAATCACTTTTAGAAGAAACATGTTAAGGGTTCAAAAGGTTTATCTCTGTAAGGTTCATTGAGAAGTGCTCATGCCTGTAAATGACATTGACAATTCTGCAAATAAAATAAATTATGTTTAATAGATACATTGTATCATTCAAGTTACCTCTGTTAGTTCTTCCTTGGAAAAGGGTTCAATCTGAACTCTTGTCCATAGCTTTTCCAAGATGGCAGAATTAGCACTAGCAACATGATAACTGAATCCACAATGACCACTGTATGACCTAGATTAAAAAAAAAATTAATACAAAATAGAATAAAAATAAAATAATAATCACACTGGTTATAAAAAATTCAAGCCAAGTAAAGATTGATCCACATCAAATACAAAACATTTTACCTCTGAGTGGCAAATAGCTGAAACCCTGGTGATGCCTTCACAACATTACCATGTGCTGGCACGGACAGTGTACGAGATTCCAGCAATGGTATTAACACTGAGATCACATCCATAGGAGCCAGGTCAATATCCTCCAAGAGAATCCAATACCCAGCTTGTACAGCCTGTAGCAGTGGCCCAGCCCGCCATACAAATTCTCCTGGTGTGTCTGTGCACACATATGTACCTAGCAAAGACTTGAAAAGAAAAACTTTACCATTAAAGCATGCTGAAACACATGCTACCAGAAAAATTAATATGATTAATTTACCAAATCACAAGTGAGCTTTATAGGGTCAATAGTAACTTAGTCTGTATATGAGCCATTGGATTACACCCCTGTGGCCAAGATATCAATTTCAATTGTCCTTAATGTCTGCTATACATTTCTTACAACAATAGCTCTGAGAATTTGGTGTTGATTTTGAACAAAATCCCTTGATTCATCCTTTAACTTCGTTTTTTCACACATGTTTATCATAATGCAACAATAAGGTAGAGAGAAATTCCTTTCTGATCATTACTGAGAGTGAAAGGGTTTGAGTATCCTGGTTTATAGAGCATGAAGCAACCACACACTGTAGGAATATCACTACTTTCTTAAGATAAGATGTTAGCCTACTACAGATCTCCAATACAATTTCCCAGTCCACACTATAACCTCATGTGGAGAAAAGTACAATTGTAATGGTACATGCTCACCTTGCTGTCTGTCTGATCTCCAAGTTGAATCTTCATAAATTCTGGTGGGCGTGTTCTCCCTGTTGCTCTGGCCACAAATTCAACCAGGGCTGTTTTCCCACAGCCTATAGGTCCTTCTAATAATACACCATTTCCTGTGGCTACCGATAGTACTAGTAAATGAAGATTATATACTGTTGATGGTACCATGACAAATGAATGGTCCACAAGATTCAATGTTCCAGGTAGGCATGGCAGCATAACCCCACAAAGGGTTGTATATTGGCCAATCAAATCTTCCTTATTGATAGATGCTCCATTGATGTTATCACCACTGACATCCATAGAATCTGAAGTTAATTTCTGATGATCATTTATATCTCTACAATCTCTTACATGACTAAGCAACTTACGTGTAAACTCTTGTGTTAAAAATGAGGTTCTCTCTGAAATTGTAAAAAGTTTATTCAGCAGACCAATCTTAATTTGTTCTGATATACCTGTTAAAATTGAAATAATATGTAAAGCATACCATCTCACTCCAGGATGACTATGTTGCAGAAATTTAAAAATAGGACTCCATTCCCAGATTCTGTGAAATGTTTCAAAATCATAACTAAGTAGATTGTAGCAAGTCTTCAATACACATAAAATTCTCTCTATTTCTTGCTCGTTAACCTGCTCCTCATCCGAAATTATTGAAAACAAACTGCAGGTTTTAATAAATCTGTAAACGAAGTCTTTCAAATGAGACAGTGTTAACAGCTCACTAAGAGTGTAACAAAATCTTTCTACACGAGAACCGTTCCTATAAGATTCTTGCTGAAGGTTTTGAGCACAACGTTCCAGAATTTCCAGCAGTATTGGTTTGCAGTGTTTTACCAGAAAGGGAGTCAAATCCTGGATTAGAAACACCTCAGCCAACTTCTGCAATAGTAGCTGCTTGTCATCAGAAGACCAGCTCTGAAATAAAATGATAACAGAAACACAGTAGAAAAAATATTTAGATGGAAAAAAAGCTAAAAGATCCAAACTTGCAAAATTATACTTAACATGCATGGCAAATCATCAATTTAAGAACAATACAGCAAACACGAATGGGAATATGTATAACAATGTAATATGTGACTAACACAGTTTATATACTGTAAGATTTTACACCACCATCTCTGTCAGTCCCAGAAATTACATCATTAGTTACTAACGTAAAACCTTACAGTACATACATTACCGACTGGACTTCCAGTTGGTAATGTTTATATGTAAGATTTTACACCAGTTACTGACAGCATAATTTCTTCCAGTTGGTAATATATGTACTTTAAGATTTTACACTAAAGAAATGTAAAATGGTTTCTGTGTTTACATAGCCTGATGTAAACACCCGGGAGGTTGGGAGAACACGAGATAAGCGTAGGAAACCACAACGCGAAGCGGAGTGGTTTCCAGCTTATCAAGTTTTACATTTCTTTTATAAAATAACTAATGAAAGAGGAACAAAAACCCTGTTTACATACACCCATGTAAAATGGTTTTATGGCCAATCAGAGCATGTGCACTATTTGAATTATTTTATAACAGTAACTAATGGAGTAATTTCTTCCAGTCAGTAATCTATATACTGTAAGATTTTATGCCAGTAACTAATGGCATAATTTCTTCCAGTCGGTTGAGTTTATATGTAAGATTTTACACCAATAACTAACGTCATAATTTCTTCCAGTTGGTAATATATATTGCAAGATTTTATGCCAGTAACTGATGGCGTAATTTCTTCCAGTTGATAATCTTTATACTGCAAGATTATATGCCAGTAACTAACGGTGTAATTTTTTCCAGTTGGTAACAATTATAAGTAAGATTTTACACCAGTAACTAAGGGTGTAATTTCTTCCAGTCAGTAGTGTCTATATGTAAGATTTTACACCAGTAACTAATGGTGTAATTTCTTTCAGTCAGTGATTATGTATGTAAGATTTTATGCCTGTAACTAAAGGCGTTATTTCTTCCAGTCAGTATCTTATACACTGTAAGATTTTGCGTTGTTAGTTAACAGCTTAAAATCTTACAGTTTATGGAGTTTGACTAATGGTTGTGGGTTGTGGGTGTAGGTACAAGTCGTGTTCATTATAGTTAACAATTTATGGTTAATAATTCATATTTAATAATAATAATATTAATAGCACTACTACTAATAACTAATTATTGTTATTATAGAGGGGAACAGTTTTTTCCCCAGTGAAATGTGATTTGGTTAAATAGCTGTGAATGATGAATCACCTTTTTTTCGTGGAAATTGCAAAACAACTGTATTTTTTTTTTTTTTTAATGCAAAACGTGACTTGAACCATTATTGTTTTCTCTTCCTTTAAAAATTATCCAGTAAGTGTCTCAAAACCAGACTACACATAGAGGCATGACTGTGGCTAGCTAATCATCATTCTGGACCCCAGGACTCTTTATTCCAACAGGTAATTGAACACCTTTCATCTTCGTTTTGTGAAATGGCTATTTCATATTGAATGAAACATGAATGGCCATTTTATTTTTTGTGAAAAGTGATCTAAACCCCCCCCCCTCCTTTTACCACCCTCAATGCATATGTCTAAGTTGACATAATTAACATGACATGATGTATAAAAATCAAACAACCCTTCTCCAACTGTCAGGAGCCAGGAATAGGCTCCAGCCAACTGTAAAATATTGTTTATTCCAATATCATTGCATCAGCTTGGTGAGACTACTGTTTCATTGACTCACTTACATATAAGTAATACATAATTCTTTCAATTCATTTATACCAAAAAAATCTATACTTAACAATAATTAATTAAAAGTAGTAGTACTATTATTATTATTATTAAATATAAACTATTAACCATTAATTGTTAACTGTTACCGACACGACTTGTACTCTCACCCACACCTACCATTGTTCAATCTCCAGTGTATACACCGACGCAGACAATGGCGTAAAATCGTACGGTCCATAAACTGTGTTAGTCACCCATTACGCCGTTATCTAACTACTGAACACGAATGATCTATTCAAAATTTACAAACCTCAACTTGCAAAAAGTATGAAAGTTCATTTTTAAAACGAACGTCGCAGTCACATAGGTACTTCAAGGAGCTCAGAAAGTCAAAGCGGAAGTTCTTGCAAGCCATCATGCCGTTAAATGAATGTGTTCGTGGATAAATGTTCCACACATAACATACTCGCATCAAGAGCAAAGATGCAGATAAATCTCTCACTCTTCAACCACGTGTGTGTTAACGAGCCCGCTTTACAGATCACCAGCACTCTACATCATTAGTTTCAGTCCTTCTCGTCCCTTAGCTTGTGTCGTTTCCAAGACAACCAGTTTCACAGATCGCCATATTTTTCGCAATACTCTACACAGCTGTCAAGATGGGTCAAGATTACTACGCTGTTTTAGGCCTAACAAGAAAAGCTACGGATGCAGATATAAAAAAATCGTAAGTTTAGTGACTTATGAATCTAAACATTATATTTTATTCACCAAGGGAACTTACGATTTGTCAAAATTTCCATCGCCAGCTATCGCAAGTTGTCACTGAAATTTCACCCAGACAAGAACCAGGAGCCAGGGGCAGATCTGAGATTTAAACAAGTTGCAGAGGCGTATGATGTGTTAAGGGATCGTAAGTATTAAAATAGTATGCTCCTTTGGATTTACTGCGATGTAAAAAAAAACTGTTAAAAGTTTAGGTCGTTCTTTGTTAATTGAACTCAAAGGTAAATATGAAGGCTTGATAAGTGCTCATTGCAAAACACTGATCACTTTTAAATAGTATTATTGCGTAACTGATTTCGTGTTTGACCCACATATCCAGAATCTTCATTTCTTTCTGAGTACTAAACAGCTCAACATAATGAATGTTTCTTACTTCTGTACTGTTAAGTGTAGCTGACTTGGAATTTGATAGTAACGGATTAATTACTGACAGTACTCATAAGTGTTCAGCAAGTCAAGATATAATTGTTATTTCAGCTAAGACGAGGGCAATTTACGACCAGTTTGGAGAAGAAGGTCTTAAAGGCGGAGTTCCTGATAAAGGTAGCTTACGTACACCTAGACTGAGATGAGAGTTCAACATGCACACATTAGCAGAGGTTATGATGATCTCATGCATGGAAACAAGACATATTAATTATGTACGAATGACTAGCGTATCTAGGTTTATTGGCACACATTAGCAGAGGTTATGATGATCTCATGCATGGAAACAAGACATATTAATGATGTACGAATACCTTGCACATCTAGGTTTATTGGCACACATTAGCAGAGGTTATGATGATTTCATGCATGGAAACAAGACATATTAATGATGTACGAATAACTTGCACATCTAGGTTTATTGGCACACATTAGCAGAGGTTATGATGATCTCATGCATGGAAACAAGACATATTAATGATGTACGAATGACTAGCGTATCTAGGTTTATTGGCACACATTAGCAGAGGTTATGATGATCTCATGCATGGAAACAAGACATATTAATGATGTACGAATACCTTGCACATCTAGGTTTATTGGCACACATTAGCAGAGGTTATGATGATTTCATGCGTGGAAATAAGACATATTAATGATGTATGGATGACGTGCACATCTAGGTTTACTTGGAAACTGTAGATGTCTGTGTATTCCTGTGAAATAATGCTGAAGGGAATGGGGCATCTAAACTGCAAGGAAATTTAAGAAGGAAAATAGTGAAGAATTGACATAACGGAGATGGTGCAAAAAATAACAATGAAACATGTCTACTTTGTACTTATGGTACGATATACATGTCACTGCACCTTTTCATTTGAGTTATGCTGATTTCATAACCCCTAGAAATTAACATGTAACTGCTACTGCAATTCTATGGTACTATTTAGCTGACAGATGCTGAGACCAGACAAAGTTTTCAAATAGTTGGCTTGGGTGGGAAAGATGGATGAGATCCATAAAAGTGCAAGGAAAGAACTAAGCCAATTTCATGCTTGGTCATGCATATATAATGCAGATTGTAGGGAGGATTGCCATCAGATCCTAGGAATTAAAAAGTGTAACTTTAGAAAATACTTAATTTATTAGTAAATAATGATTTGTCCTAAAGATGTGGTGATATCTTCTTTATTGTAGATGGATGGACTCCAGGGTACACATTCCATGGAGATGCTGGTCGAGTTTTTAAAGAATTTTTTGGGGGAGACAATCCTTTTGCTGGTATGCTTGTTTTTGCATATGTTCATGAGAAGAAAAACTTGCCATTTTGAATATGACTTTTTTTTTAAAATCTGTTTACTTTTCAAGTTTTGAAGGCAGAGGTCATGATTTATCTTAATCAGTAGAGGATAAAATTATGATTGAATTACTGTTTTGTTGAGTTATTGAAAACATAGTATTTGAAAAAATATAAAAAGCATGATCTCATTGAACATGTTCATGCATAAAAAAAAGTGGCCTGGAAAATAACCCCTGCTTTTACTCTCAGAATTATTTGACTCATATGATCCAGAAGTTGGGTTTGGTGGAATTCATGGCCGAGGTCGTCGTAAGCAAGATCCACCCATTGAGAGAGAACTTTACCTCACTCTGGAAGAAGTTTATAAAGGATGTGTCAAAAAAATGAAAATTTCAAGAAGGGTAAGAAATAAGAGTGTTGGCCAGTATTTACTTGTGCGGGAAGGAGCCAAATATCATTTTAAGAAAATACTTTAGTGGTGGGTGTTTCTTTTGTGAAGGGTGTCTCTGGGCATCTACTTCAACCCTGAAAAAAAATCTGTAAACAATGAGTCCTGTGTATTGTGAAACTATCAATTGTTGATTGTGACATTTCAACTGCTACAGTGTTGATATGAGGATCTAGTATTACAATTCACTATATACGGTATTTAGCACAACAGTTAGCTGCTTTTCATGTGTTTGACCCTCTCACTTCCAAGATCTGAGAGAAAATTATCACAACCAGTTGTATAGCTAAGATTTTTCAAACAAGGGGGTCACACATTGTCACACCTAGGTTATCTAGTAGACTGTCCTGTTGACATCCACAAAATGCTGCAAAACTCTGATTTATCTTTCAAATCAGCACTCTTGATCCCCTCCATATTCTTGTGCTATTCACATTACCATGTTCCAACCAATACTATAGCTCTATTTCTTGGTACCTGTCTACAAACCACACACAACACACATTTCCTTTTTTCCCTCTGATAAAGGGGTTAACACTCAAATTGTCAGCCTAAAAACTCTTAGCATTGGCCAATTTACTTTATTTATCAAGTCAGCCAATAAAACCAAATTATCTATATACAATTAAAAGACAATTTGTGTTAACAGGTGATGAATGAAGATGGGCACACATCGAATATTCGTGACAAAATATTGACCATCAATGTTAAACCAGGTTGGAGAGCAGGGACAAAAATTACATTTCCTAAGGAAGGAGATCAGGGTCCAAACAACATTCCAGGTAAATACTGTGTATCCCTTTCCTGCAGGAAATAAGGTTACTGTACATGAATATTATCAATTTCTCCATGAAATGATCTCAAATGATACAAAGTGTAGCTCAGTGATAAGATGACCAAACTGAGTTCAGTGTTTTAGTTCAGTTCTCTCAGAACTATCTTCATTGATTACACAAAACAGAATATTTCCACAAAATAAAGCAACTGAATGTGATGTTATAATTCTATTCAATAATACAACTTTATTCCCTTGGCTTATTGTGTGCTATCTTCTTTTACACCAGCTGACATTGTGTTCATTGTGAAAGACAAGCCTCATCCAGTCTTCAAGCGTGATAATGATAACCTTGTCTATACTGCTACTGTTCCTCTTGGAAAGGTAACTCAACATATTCATCATTATTTACATCCTAATACCAGTATGTTTATTCTCTATACATTTCCTAAGGTGCTGACATGGGGAATTTGTAAAATAAATCCAGAGCTTTGTTAGTTAGTGATCATTTCCTTTACTCTTCTGACCTTAATGTGTGATTCAGGGGTGATATTCTGAAGAGAAATTAGGTGCTGGTTACTCCTAGTGGTTAAAGGGTTAAAAAGAATACACTTTGTCACTCCTTGACCCTCAGTCCAAAGCCCATGATGAGTACTATTTAGCAGCCTCTGTCAATAACATAGTTGGTGGTAAATATTGATGTATAGGTTAATAGTCAATCATTACTAGGTTGATAATCTGCAGATTAAGAACTGATCAAGAACTTGCCAACCTGAAGACAATCAAAACTCAGTGATAGTCAGAAAAGGTCTCACTGTTGCTATAGCTGGCAGACATCTTCATAAAGCCAATTCTTAGTTGATTTCAAACCATCTGTCAACCATATTGACATATAGATCAACAATCCATCAACATTTCAACCAAAATCTGGACTGAGGCCCTTGTTAGTGATCATGGTCCCCCAGATCTATTTCAAAGGCAAACAAGTTTTCAGAACATCAGGAAGTGTAAATAGTTAAGGGGATGCAGGGTTTCACTTATTACTTAACCCCTTTAACTCCCAAGACATTATTGTTAATTCTTTCCTTTAGCTGCTGCAAATTTCCCTGTAAATTATTTAGGAGAATTTGGTGTTAGATCAAGAGAACATCATCTACCTCAAAATTTGGGTACTCTCTTACATTTTGTTGGATGATTTATGGGTTTTTTTACATGTTAATCACTTAAGGGAGTTTAAGGGTCAATCTACCTTATGCAATGTGCTATCCACCCATATGCAACAAACTGATTAGATTTCTGGTTTAGTATTTGTGTGATGGTGGTATTGGTAACAACCAGTGAATTACATCTTTTAAAAACTGATACTATTAGGCAATTATCTCATGGTACCACGGATGAAGCGGAGTACTAGTCTTTAAAATTTCAAGACAAAATGCTTTTGTTTACCATCAGGCATTGACTGGCTGTGTAGTGGATGTTCCAACACTGGATGGTCGACTCATAAGCATTCCAATCAATGACATTGTTAAGTAAGTAATTTAACTTCACTTTTTTCCAATACGATACATTTATGATGCTCACATGGATAAGTAAAAATAACATTGTGATCAAGTTATCTACCAGTTATGAAATATAGAAACACTTTTTGATGTGCGGTAGGTTGATTTTTAACGAAATAGTCATAGATTGAATAGAGATTTTATTTGTTCACATGAGCACTAGGAGCAGGTAGAAAACCTGGGTTTCCCTGAGGATTTGAACCTCATGACTGGCTGAGTTTTCAGTCTGATGCTTTGCCATAGAGCACCATACTGGTGACTGCATGGGGCATAACATCCTCTTTTCTTAACAATTAAGTGAGCTCAAAATTTACTGCCTTTTTCAATCTCTTAAATTTCAGAGGTCCAGGTTTAAACCCTGGCTGAGTCATTGTGTCGTGTTCTTTAGAAAGACACTTCCTCCCTCAATTCCCCTTTCCAATCAGGAGTATTGATAATTGGCAGCAAACTGTCCGGGAAATCTGACAAAATGCTTGCAGGTTACATGTTCCTCAGTTCTAGGACTTAACCCCATAACAATTGATTTTTATGAAAATGATAATATGAAACTAATGATGTTGAAACTGATACTGTTGCTTTACCTTGATTTCAGACCTGGCTATCAAAAAGTTGTTCCTACTGAGGGAATGCCAATCTCCAAGGATCCCAACACAAAAGGAGATCTAATAATTCAATTCAACATTGAATTCCCAAACCAACTCAACCCAGAACAAAAGAGAATGCTGAAAGAAGCACTACTGCTTCCTCCATGAGCTGTGCTTCTCCACTTGATCATAACAAAATTGTTCACTGTACAAACAAAGTACAGGACATGAACATTATTTATTCAGAGTTGATAATGTTACAAACTATTTCAATACTATTAATCAGATAGTTACACTGGCAGGTCTTGTTCTCTATCAATAGCAAACAAGAAGTATCTGGAGGTTGAAGCCAAGCATTAGAAATTTTATATTTTGTAAATAATTGAAAATAAAGAATTAAACATTGTCAAAAATTCAAATAGTTGTTGTCAATTGAATCTTGATATAGCTTGATCTTAACGCCTGTACCCTAGAGGTAAAGGGACAAAACTAAAAAGGGGTTCTTCTTATCATTCTGGAATTGATGTATTTCATAATGAAACCAATGCCATCTCTGTTTGCTACCTTTGTTTGTTACATTCTACAATCATCTCCCCCTTTTTGGATTTTCTCAATTTTCCCATTGGAAAGTCAAGCAACTCCCAAGATGAAAATAAACTTTTTTCCCTTCCCACCACAATGTGCTTTGAACAATTCTGTGTACAATGAGACTTGTAGAACTGAAGTAGATAATAACTTTTTAAGACAAGAATTAAAAGCCAAATATGTCTTGGAGCTCTATTTATTGAAACAAAAACATTTATATACTTTTCACATAATACACAAACTTTGTAGCTATATTTCTCTATAGACATTTATATTAAATAAATGATTGTCATTTCAACTGTACAGTGTATGAGGGAAGCTAAAAGAAAAACTGCTTCCAGTCAGTGAAAAGTGTTTTTAGGGTTCAGATGCTACAGCTGATTTATTGTCTTCCATCTAGCAGCACAATGTTCTGTAGCCAGGTGATGGCTTTGCATGTGACTGAGGAAAAAAGTTTTAAATACATTTAATTATCAGAAAGCTGCAGAAGCCTTTTTGTTGACAGGTAGCTGGACCATAGAAGAGTAGGATGGTTATGAAGGATGGAAGATGACAAAAATGAAAATGTCAGTGGTGAAATTTGGGTTAGTTGCTTCCAAAGGATGCACATTTTGGTTTTCTATTTTTTTCTAAATATTTTCTTTATTTTTCTCAAATTGTAGTTGAATAAATCCAAAGTATATTCAATCATTAGTATATTAGTTCAACATGATTGTAACACTATTAACATTTTACATGGTCAAGTCCAATAAATCTCTAACAAGGAAATGTGTGATATTCATAACCATTGTCTCTTTTTAAACTTACTATTTCAGGCAACAACAATCCTGGAAACAATTCAAACTTACAGAGAAAGGAGCCATAGGTCCAATGTAATGATTATATCTCCTAATAGCTTCTCTAATGTGTTGAGGTTGAATACAATCATCACTACTGTATGAAAGGCTTGCAGCTGATCCCTGAAATACAAGTGACACCACTACTGCAAAGACTTTTTAAAACAAAAAAACAAAGGTAGACCATTCAAAATTAGCTACTCTGACCTTTAGCTAAAGATCTAAAAATCCACAGATGTGAGAAAAGTTTGAAAGAAATATTTTTCAGTCTGTATCTCCACCTATATATTGAAAAAATTACCAGTGTAATCTGGGGCACAAACAAAAAGCAGCTATTTATATATTCAGGCTAATGTCTTTCCTGGGAAACCACTTTGGCAATGATAAACAAACCTTGAAGCTTGCTGTTCAACATTTCTGTCTCCTATTCAAGGGTTTCAACAATTTTTTTCTCAATTATGACATGCAGTTGTGACCAGAAATCCTAGTGAAGCCTTCAAATGGACAGTACACTGAAAATTAGCAATGTTATTGACACCAGCATATACACCAAACTTACTTTAATTTTCCTTTTTTTGCTCTTAGGTTTTGCTGGCACAGTTGCACTTTGTGGAGCTGATGAAATTCCACTGGCACTAGATACACTTGGGGTGGGACTAGGAAGGAAAGGGGTTGTAGGTGTGGTGGGGGTTCCAGGTGGGGTGTGGTTGGGAGTAGAGGGGGTAGATGTTGCACTTCCAGGTGTAACAACGGATGATTGGCTCTCTGATAGGATAGATACAGGTGGCATAGCTTGAGTCAACACATCACACGCCTCCAAATCTTTCTTTACCAGTAATGCCAAGTCGACTATCTACCAACATAAGAAACCTGTCGTTATGGAGTACTAGTGGAACTTTAACATACAAATAACTTGGAAAAACAAAAGGGTTGGCATTCATCATCTGAGTTAAAATAAACCTAGGCAAGGAAAGTCCAAACGACATGAACAAGGCCAGCTGGGGGAGCCAGGTTGATTGTGCAAGTGTCATTAACAGGAAGACGATTTGGTGACTGATTCCAAGAACACCTTTGCATCATAGAAAGAAATGACAAGGACGCATCCAAATCAATAGACACTTTAATCTCTCCTAATCACTCTTACCAGCATATGGCAGTTTGTGGCCTTTCCCAACATCTAGGCAGTTCAGAAAGCCACAAAACTCTAGAGCAAAAATTTATCTTTCAAATCCACACTTTCAATCCCTACAGTATCAGAGAGAACTTTTCATTCAACTAATTTATTCTTGTTTTCTTGTTGCCATATTCCCAACAATAGCATGGCTCCATTTTCTGCATGTAAACACACTCACAACCCACAATTCCTCCATTTACTCTGACGAAGGGCTAACACTTTATAACTCTTTACAGTGACTAATTTATGTTATCAACTCAGTTGATAAAACTAATTTAACCCTGTCATTACAGACAGTTTGGTTTTATTAACTGAGTTGAAAATGTAAATTGGTCACCTTAAGGAGTTTCTGAAGCTGACATTTCGAACGCTGGCCCTCAGTAAGAACAAATGTCATTAAATGACAAGCTGGTTCTCATGTGATTCCCACAATTTTTTATACTTGAGATATACACCAAGACCTCCTATGGTTGTGTCATACCACTGTGAATGATATCTGGTGAAACTGTCAAAGACAGTATACATGGAGAGAAAATCAAGACTGGACTCCTCTTGAACCCACCTGCCCCACTATCTCATAAGCAAGGAAGCTGAATACTTCCATCACAGGTGTATTGGGTTTCATATCAATCAGTGATGCACAGTCCAGCCACTCTTTGAATTTTCCTGCTTTCTTATCTTTAAGAAAAATCACATTAGCTATAAACTCCTGCACACAAAAAGAGAAAAACGTGGTAACTTAAGCTGTAGTGAAACAAAATAGATGACATGCATGTATGTTGCCCACAGAAGACAAATTATCAAGCACTGCTTCAGGATTTAGAAGCAATGCTTGAAACATGTTAACCATGATTTGGATAGGAAAATATGTATCTGATACCTCTACATGAAGCTCTTTCTTGTGAAAATGCAACAAAACACTTTACTCACTGAAGTTAGCCTGTCGACACTCAGTAAACTCCAAATATTGTTGAGGGTCAAGAGTTCTTGATAAACGTTCAGCTCTCTGAAAATTAGAAGGAACAAGTTGTCTCTAAATCCATTACTTTGAACACCAATGCAATTGAAAGTCAAAACATCAAATGAAACTGGAATTTAACCCTTACAACCTAACATCAGTATGTATACTCTTCATACTGTCCTCGATACATTTCCTAAGGTGCTAACAACAAGAATTTGCTTAACAATGAAGAGCCTCATTAAGTTGGTGATCATTTCCTATATTCTTGCGACCTTAATGTGTGATTCAAAGTTAATAACGTAAGGAGAAATTAAATGCTAGTCACTCTTAGAGGTCAAAGGGTTAAGCAAGGGAAGGCCCACAGAAAAAAAGTCAAACTTTCCATGCTAAGGTTATAAACATCTTTTGGCTTAAAGATGTAAATGTAAATGTAGGGAAAATATAACACCTCTAACTACCTCATTCCTCTCTTGTTTCAGTTCATCAATGTCATCATCCTCAAATAAAGCTACAAGATCACCTAAAAAAATTGTACACCATCAAGACTGTATGATGAGGGAAAAAAAAGACTGCTATATAGAACTGTTGAGTACAAAGTTTATTTCAGATCAAGACAGGTGTTTTGCTGCTCTGTTTATTCAAAGTAGCCATAGTCCATTGTATTGCTATAGTCTATTGTACTCAAGTCTATTGATCCACCAAGCAGGAGCTTATCCCAGTTCCCATGTAGCATGAAGTGACCAGAAGTTTTACTACTCTCCTCTGAATGGGATGCCAGTCCATCCCAAGGTTACCCCCCCCCCCCCCCCCCCCCCCCCCCCCCCCCCTTCCCACCATTTCATCAGGCTCCCCTGACAATTTGCCAGTACCCATTTATATTCCTAGGTAGAGAGAGAGGCAGTATGAGAGCTGAGTGTCTTCCTCAAAGAAAAAAACACAATGCCCTGGCTAGGTCCTGAACCTGGACCTCTAAATCCTTTAACTCCCACAAGTGACCAAGACAGAATTTCTCCCCATAATATCAATACAATATCAAGCAGACAAGTCATGAGAATATAGCAAAATATCAATCAGGGGATTACTTACTGATTCAATTCCAAATTCCCCAAACTAATTTTAAGAGAATCATATGGCAGACTGTAAGGAGAATCTCTGTTGAAATATTGGGATTGAAAGGGTTAACTGTGAGTTCAATGCCCTGACCATTAAGCCACTGTGTCTCCCACTACTATAGCCTCACACATGTGCAGATTTTCATACAAATGGAGTCCCAGCCACAAATGTCAACAATCCACTTACCAGTTTGGTCTATTGTGCTCACAAAGTCATATGAAACCTTTCGTTTTTTGCTACCCTTGGTTTCACTTGCTGCAAAACAAAAAAAATGACAGCACTTAATCAGCACAAACTCTTACAAACAATTCTTCCTCCCTAGGTGTTAAAAAAAGGCAGAAAACAGATATCCCTTCTTAATAGTTTTCAAGGTTTTGTATTGCAATACTGTTTCACCTGCAGCTTCTAGGACTTCATCATCATCTTGAGAAGTTTGTTTCTGGGTTTTGTTTTTCACGTCTTTGAAATTGAGATACTTGATTAGTCTTTTGAGTTTTTCCTGCAGAAACATTAACACAAACTTAATAAGTTAATAAAAATAAGTTCATAAATTTAATATGCCCTTTATTTATTTTTGTATAATATAAAAAAAAAAATAAAGGGCATAAATTTCAAAAGAAACTGTGGCGCTGTGTGGGTTGGGAGAGTATAACAAGGTAATTTGGTATTATCAACTAAGTAGATGACATAAATTAGCTACCATAAAGAGTTTCAAAGCTGACATTTTCAGTGTTAACCATTCATCATTCGCTCTGATGAGGCGCTAATGGTGGAAACATCAGCTTTGAAACTCTTTACAGTGGCCAATTTGCATTATATACTAAGTTGATAATACCACATTACCTTTTTACAAAAAAAATATATGTTCTGATAGAGTGTTCTTGTCTACGCATAGCAGGGTTGATCTTGGACGGAGAAGTCCTATTCAATTCAATCCAATCTGAGCATTATAAGCCCATCATGAGAGCGAAACTGTGATGCTGTTCTCATATTAGGGAAAGTCTTCATTCTCTTATTGAGTAATATTAATCAACTGATGAAAGTCTATAATATTTGCCTATGTCATACAACAAGAAGATTGCAAGAATTGAGTCAAAGAATGTGCAGCCTGTGAGGTTAAGTAGTGTCCAAAGAACACTCCTCCACTTACTTTGTCCTTCCTCATTAGAAATATAATGTCTTCCACACTCATAAACCTTCCCCCTCGCATATTTGTGACCTCTGCAGCCCGCACAACCTGTAAAATAAGGGCATACAACACTCAGAGCAATTTTTTAATCAATACAACATTTTTAAAGTATTCATAGTCAAGATCAGGCTAGTATGGAATGTGAATGGCCATACAGTATCAAAACTTCAGAGTATACCCCTTCTTAAATGCTCAAGGGGCTGAAACTCTCTCTCCCACCCAGAGAATCTTTGAAACAGAGAGAGTGACAAAATACTTAGGAGATAGAACAACCTAGGGGTCAGTGCAGTGGACTCCTCACCAAAAGGTTTAAGAGGTTTGAGTGTTATTGTTCACAAGTATCAGTTTCTTGTTTTCTAAGACAGGGCACTTCATTCACACCACTCCATCTTTCTAGTCAGTAAAATGGATGTTACCAATTTTGGTGAGAAACCTGATGAATTACTGAAGGGCACAATATGCAATGAACTAGCACCCCATTCACAAAGGGAGGCAATCCTTGACATTATTTCTAAGTCAAGGATATCACGATAGGTGCTTCATGCAATAAGAGTCAAAAATCTTCTATATATAACCTTCAACCTTACCATGAACGAAAAAACTTAATTAAAAAGCTATTGATAACCACCCTTCAAACTATTTTAAATTATATGTAAGATATGAGCCTTTTGCCTCCTTTCATAAAGGAAGGTTCAATGGAGAAGAAAAACAGCAAGAAAAATAAAAAAATGAAAATACCAAGCTAGCCATCTGCGAATGGACAATTTCTTCAATAAGAAGAGCTGATTCTGTTGATGGTTTTCTTGAGTCACCAAAAGCATACCTAGTGAAAAAAGGCACATTATTTGAAAAGATTTATAGTTTAAGTATTACAAGCCTACTGACCTGTTTCAATAGCCTGAATCCACTAGGAGTATAGTTACATCTCTAAACAGGATGCTGATCTATCACAAGTCCCCCCTTCTCCCACAACTCTGGTTCTCCTATGAAATTCATCATGTTTCCCTGAGAGTATGCTGGAACACAATGATACTCCTGGTTCGAGAGAAGTACTGTATGAGTGCAATTTTTTGCAGAACAACATAATGCAGTATATCTTTTTCTCCTCTTACACAGGAAGCTAGTTCATTGCATTTATACTCCTTGGTGGAGAGAGAAACTGTGAGAATTAACCCTTTAACTCCCAAGATTTCATTAGCAAGTCTCCTCACTGTCTGTTATACAATTCATCTAATGTTAGTTTGGAGAATTTGGAATTGGATCAACCAATAATCCCCTAATTGATATTTTTCTTTATTCTCATTACTTGACTGCTTGATATTGTAGTGATAGTGTAAGGATAAATTCTGTCTTGGTCGCTAGTGGGACTTACAGGGTTAAGTGTCTTGCCTGAAACACAACAAAAGATGATAAACAAGCCAGGGATTAAGTCTGAAGCTTTAACTCCAGGGCAAGGTTGTTCAAAGCTAGGTTAACCCTTTAACTCCTAAGATGTCATTAGTAATTCTCCTGACTGTCTGCTCTACAAGTCTTCCGATGTTACATCTGAGAATTTAGTATCAGATCAACTAATAATCCCCTAATTGATGCTTTTCTTGGTTCTCATCACTTGTCTTCTTGATTTTGCATCGATATTGTGAAGAGAAATTCTGTCTTGGTCACTCATGGGAGTTCAAGGGTTAACATAACCTAGGGTTAGTGTGAAATCTAACCTTATATCTAAAAGTTTAAAAAGAATATTTTAAGTTTTAAAAGAATATAGTAAAATTTGTTTTGTCCACAATTTGATGCTTGGACACTCTATAAAGAATAGTAAGAGGAAATTATCTGAAAAAGGCTTCTGAAGAAAGAAATATAAGAACCCAGATCAAGACTTAACCCTGGGTTAGTGCTATTCTGCCTTCAAACAACTTTGCCATAGTCCCAGGCACCACCCATGCAGCCATCAAGTCTCCCTGTTGCTACAACGAGAGGTGCTTGCTTTATTTGCCACAAGCACTGAGCAAGCAGAACAAAATCTAAGAGATAGAAGGTTAGTGGAGAGTTAAACCACATTACAGTTAATAATTGAGTTAGTTTCAATTTAACGTTAAAAGTAATCCACATTGCATTCATTTGGCTTTAACTCACTTCATGATTGGTCTAGAAACCACCCTCTCAACCAATCAGAGGACAAACTAAAACCAATATTCCTTTTTGGAAAAGAGTGATACCCTGGGAATGCAAAGGTGACACACAAGTGCTGATGGGATTGTTTGGGGAACATTTAAATCTGTCATGTTAAGTCATGCTACGACTGGAAGTTGCTGTGTGCCTGATATGCACAAAAAAATACAGAGATTCCTCTGGACTGACTTTTTATTGAATTCTTGATCAGTTGCAATTTACCACCCATTCAACAGTTCCTTCTTTAATTTCCCATATGGTTTTTGAGACTGATATTTTTTTGTTTTTCCTGTTTCTTGTGGTTACTTCAGTTCTGATTTCAACACACTTCATTTAAATGCACTTTAATAACCACAAAAAATACAGTAGCAATCTACCAATGATCACTGAGATATGGAGACTCCATCACAACCACAGATAAACTGGGGTATCGTAATAAATGAAAATATTATGAGAGAAGAAACACTACTAGTGATTACTGATTTTTTAACTCTTCGGCTCATGTTAAATTTCATTAAAATATCAGAGCTGTACACTATTATCACGTGCAAAACCATAAGGAAAAAGAATACTGGTAATTGTTGAACCAAAGATATAAACAAGCTGTAACATGTCTTCAACACTCAAAACATATTTAAAAAAAAAACATGCCATGATGTGGCATACTTTAAGAGTTTTTTTAAAACAAAATTTTAAGTTGATAAAGTCACTTGCAGTAACAGTATTGAGCCACAATACTGGTGAGAGGTACAAAGGAAATTAATTTCACAAGAGTTCATTATCAATATCACTTCTTCGTCACCCAGAGTTGTTACAGTAACAACACTTGTCAGTGAAAGACGTTAACTGCTACTTGAAAGGGTCATTACCAAATGTTATTCAAAATTTTTAGTTTCCCTTTTTTGCAGCCCCATCTCAATTATTACTACCACTGATCAACCTCAGCAAGGAATTACTTTAATTGAGAAAAAAAATTTTCAGTCCCTCCTTCCCTTATCTATTTCAACATACTAATACACAAAATTCACTTTTAACCTATTCAAGAGCTAGGCGGCACATTAGCGAGTGTATTATGTAGTTCAAGTACCTCCTCAACGTTTTCCATCAAAACCACATCAAGGTCAAAATATATGAAAAGATATGAGGGCTCCTTATTGAGTAACGTATTGTTACATGCACTCAAAGGTTTCTTTAAGAGAAACCTTAAGGCAATACACATACAATGTAGCAAACAAAGTGGAATGAAGAAATGCCCAAGGTATCTGATTCAAACTGACTAATAAAACAATACAAATGTTGACAAATATTCAATATCATATTGAAAGGGCAACTTAGAGAAAGAAGCCAAAAAAGTTCTGAAAATAGTGCAGTGTTTTCTTCTGGAGTACTTCTTTTCATCATGCACAGACACACTACATCAATATCAATCCTAAACAACAGTCACCATTGATAAGTTACAATATTATCAGTTGAATTATTAGAAGAACTATAGGAATTTGTAGCTGGTCTGGGTACCATCTTAAAACATCGACAACAATATCTGACCTCACGAGCTGCACACGGAAATACTTCAAATTGTGATACTTTGGAAATATAAATTTCCTACATTAGTGAAAATATTTGAGTTGTATTGTACCCAGATTCCTTCTGACATACCTTACAGCATATTTTGTAAAATATACACAGCAGCTCAAGTCACAATACAATTTCAATTGGTACATATTCATTAGCAATAAAATCTGCCAACTCCCTGTACCAGTGAGGTACAGGGAGATATCGCATTTACTCCCAGAAAAGCCTGATTGGTGGATGACACATAGCTAAGTAACAAGGTATATCACTCCTTCAGATATGATACTTGTTTCATTGCATTGCATCTTGTGTGAGGGTGATCTGTTAAGCCACAAACTTAATTCAATCATGAATACTGTGGATAGGTTAGGTATAGACACCCAAACAGCAACCCTTATTTGGTGGCATATTTGTCCACAGCTATCACTGTTCTCAGAGCCAAGCTCAGGGAACAGATTACTTCCAAGGACAAATATATAAGCATAACTTTCAAGCTAAATGGAGTCTATTGTATTTACTATCCTGCAAATACTTTTTGCAGCATGGATGTTGACTTTTCAGAGCAAAATAATGAACAAACAAGTTCCTCTTCTCCTGTTACAAATGCACAGAACTTTCCCAACTTCCCTTAACTTTCAAAGGAAGACTTTTTTTTGCATTGAACACAAGACTTTAAAATTGGATATTTCCCACTTTTAGCTGGGCAATGACTAAAGGCTTGAGCCTGTTTCTTGTTAAATTTTGAACAAGTAGTAGATTTAAACTAAAATGATAGGATTGCTAGCTCTTGATTTCTATGAGTGAAAGCTGATCTCTCATTACCATGCCATATTGTTCATAATCTAATTTAAAAAAACCTTTGACCAAGGCCACCTACAATGATGAGACCTTTGTCCTGGGATAGATGGCAATACCTGTTGTTAACATGAAAAGCAGTGATAAGAGGGTCTCAACATTTTACAGAGTAAGCCCAACTTCCCCACTCTTCTTCCCCTGCTATCCTGTTAAGCACAACTCACTTATTCACTGTCATTAAGAAGGTCATTTGCACATGCTCAAGATTATTTTGCTTGCTATCTTACACATTTGCTGCCAATCACACATGTTATTGTATTTATGACTCCTAGCAAGAGAAAAGACAGGTTAAAGAGGATCAACCTTTGCAAATTAACCTGTTTGGTACCTCAGAAATTAAGAAATCAATCTACAAACTACTCCCACAACAAAATAGGAAACCCTCTCTGCTTGATTGTCACAGATATAAGATTAACACTTCTCTAGGGAGTTTTTCAGCAGATAGTAACTTGAGGTTCTCAAGCAAAGGTATACAAGTAATCTGTTCCAATTCTTATTGGCTTTAAGTATACAGCCACTTCTACTCAGAAGTGTTTTTATTTTGTCATACCAACCAATAAGAGTTCTTTCTTTATTCATGAGTGGTGTCATAACAACACACAGCAGTTTTTCAGCAAGCATAAGAAAACAACTATCAGATTTCACATGGATAGAATTATCATGGTATTGGTTTGAAGAATCAAAAAATGTTTTTAAGCCTTGGCCTTTAAATTTTTGCTGTAATGCTTTACTTTATCAAATGTTTACTAATTAACAGCAATTAAATATTTAGATATTAGTAGTATGATGAAAAGTACAAACACCACAAAGGTTAACCTCAAATTTGAGAAAATTATGGTTAACACCAAACCACTGCCATAGTTTATTCAGGAAAACCTTTGAAGGACCAAACACTCATTTTAAAGGACCAAAAACATTAAAATAAAAGCTGTTCTCTTGATCGCATGCACACCTGTCCACAAAAATAGTTATCACTAAAAATGAATTCCAAACACTACTTTAAAGACGTCATAAAATACAAAAAAAACCAGGCTAGTTTTCTAATAGCCTGGGTGATCTTTATGATAATTTGTTTCATTATCCTTATGTCAAACAGAAGTTCATGTCATATGAAACACCCCCAACAACTTCGTAGAAAACTCCAGGTGACTTTCACTGAAAACATATCATTGAAAAGTTTGGCTGGTTGTGTAACACAGCAGGACTATTTTAAATTTTCATTATCTTTTTGGAATTTGTTTAAAAAATAAGCCAAGCATAAAATTTAGTTCATGAGACACCCTGGACTAAGGGATTTGGCAAGTTGGCAACACCTTGTATGTTATGTAGTTAGTCTAATGAAAAATATTCTATTTTCCTTGTGACAAAGATTTCTTTAGTGGACAACATTCGCATGTCCATGATATTGAGCATGTGCTCATTTGTCATAACAATCTATCATTTACAACTTCGTCCTAATGAACTTATTAACGTGTGAACTTAAGGCTATACTTCAAGAACTAAAAATACACAGACTTAATTCTTTCAAAAACCGACGTTTTAACATCAGCGAGGTCACTTAGTTATTTGAGCAACAAAGAGTAATTGGTCAACAATGACCTTACCGCAAATTTGCTTTTGTTCATCCGCAAACACTGTATTAAGAGGGCTAAAAATATACTCGCAGTTAAAATTACTCTCTAATAGACCTCAATTTACATGTTTCACGAGATTTGCGTCATTTGTCAACAAACAGGAGAGCCTTCGACCTAGCGCAGTTGATAAGAAGCATGGAGAAGCACTTGGCCCGCTTCAAGAGCGATAAAGAGATAACATTCAAACTCGGAAACAGACAATAACGCCGAGTGAAATTGCTCCTTGGAATTTTTTAGCGGCGTTTAAATTGTGCCCCTCTACACGTGGCCCTAATTGCACGAATCAGCTCATTGATTTAGTAAACAGTACCTTTCTCACGCAATTGTGTTCTCACATAAAAAGGTGCTTTTACCGATAACCTCTATTCTCTGTAAAACCGCGACGATATTATTGTGGTGTTAATCACACTTGTCATAAACGCTTTGCGGCTTCTTCGTGGGAAAAATATTTTGTCAATTGTGTAACCTCTCTCGAGGCCACTACACTTCCTGGCCTAAGGGCTTCTTATTATCATCGACCTGTCAAAAATCGCGTCGCGGAGTATTACACGAGAAAAGGCTATTATTCAACTACACAATTGGCCTCAGGAAATCGTGACAAAACCGCCGTGTAATGCGCCACTATCAAACAATTCGGCACATTTTCGGCAGCCTTTTTCGCACACGATACAAAAACGTGCGACAAACGAACCGCATCGTAGTCATACACACACAGGAGCAAAGCCGACCGATATGCAGAAGATCAACTTCTTAATGCGATCATAAACACGCGAAGTGTTCGACCTCCAACGATGATGTGTTTGTAAACCGAGAGCATTGTTTTCGACGTGCGGTTGTATAGATAGGTCATTATCGAATCTACATCGGTTTAAACTTCAACTAAGACACGGCTACTAAACAATTATCTCGGCTTCGAGGTCATTGTCGCTTGAACAGACTGAATTTCCTTCGAGTTGAGACACTTGTCTTATTCATAGCAGAAGAAGGATTATAACACCAATCCCAAATAAATTTTCTCTCTTTACTTACATCATATTAAGAATTTCGCTCTGAAACCATGGCTTTGGAAGTCTGGAGCTTGGGGTCACCGGACTTTGCACAACAGCCGGAGTAGGAGGACGTATGTCACAAGCGCTAGGGGGCTGAAACCGGAAATCAATCAGTTATTTCTTTGAATAACCGTTGTATTCATCGAGTTCAAAATGGAATTAAATGCTTACGACGCGCTACAAGATCATGTTATTAGCTATACTTGTCACGAAATGCTTAACTTCCTTTCCACCCACAAGAGATTAACTGAATTCATTTGTCCGTAGGTTTTAAGACCTAAAATCTCATACAAAATGGCGGCTTTAAAAGAAATCGCTTCCACCGAATTCGTAAGCAAACCTCACACGTTTTACTCACTCTGCTGTCGCCAGCGTTGGCAGAATTGTTGACCTCCTTCCCCTTTTCGCTTTTCTTGCTCTTAGATTTAGATTTCGTCATATTTAGTTCAAAATTTTTTACCAAAATAGAGCTGACAGCGATTCAACCCACTCCATCCGGAAATGACCTTCCTTTCCCATAATGCCTAGACGAAAAGCGCGCGAAACTTGACAGCGAATCAACAGAGAGGCGCCGTGGTAAGAGGGATGTAGATTTCACGGCTGAAACCTGCATTGACATGTCGATTACAAAAATAAATCGATTGATGATGACTAGATATCTCGGATTACAACCGGAATTAAGTCTTCCTGGGTAAACACGGTGGAATAGGCGATTTGTAAATTTTTCGAAGCTTTGATATTTCCTTTCGTGAAATGACTCACAGTTCAAGTGTTCTCGAAATTATTTTCATTATTTTTCGATATTAGTCATCTCCCTTCTTTCCGTCGAGTGGGAGCAAATTTTCGCCTAAGGGAAACTCGTGATTACGCATAAAGAGTCATTGACATTGAGCAATTTTACACATCTAGGCATGATTTAACATTAAACACACAGCCGTTTACGATCGATCGCTGAGACAATACTGAGTGGACGGGTTCCCCGTTTGTAGTTCCCACGTGTTTCAACGAGTCCGCTAATTGGCGAAGGTTCGCCGCAGTTCAGTTCTTCAATGTCATCAAACAATGATTCTCGCGAAGACATTAAACCACAGGAACGCTCGAGAAATCAAGACAGAATTCATCGGAATGCGGAGTACGTGAGCTCATTGGATAAATGCCAGCGGTGGGCGTGTGAGCTAGTTAAGTCGCCCGCCGCTATTGGCTCATCTGTTGTACATCACAAAAACGCAAAACAAGTAGGCTCAGCAGATGTCAAATCTCAGGGGAGTGGTTGGCCAGAAGCATTTCAGTTGATTCAACCGTCCGGTAGTGTGCCAAACTCGCCACACATATTCTGGTGGCTCACTCTTGTGGTTTACACATTGGAGAACCATGACCACTGCCACAGAAAATGCGGTCCCACGAAAAATTAGAGGGGAGCGATCGCTCATTGAAGCACTGGCTGAATACCCAGGCGAGCTCGTAAAAACGGATTCTCCGAACTTTGTTTGTAGCGTGTTGCCATCGCACTGGAGATGTAATAAGACGCTACCGGTTGCATTCAAGGTTGTTGCACTCGGTGATATTCCCGATGGAGTTCTCGTCTCGATCGCTGCAGGCAATGACGAGAACTTCTCGGCCGAACTCCGAAACGCGACTGCCGTCATGAAAAATCAAGTCGCGCGCTTCAACGATCTTAGATTCGTAGGACGTAGCGGAAGAGGTAAGATACGTGCCGACCAGTTCGCATTGACGCGTATTGTAAAGACTGACTCACTTACTGCATTCGGTATGGAATCAGCCATCTGGAAAACGACATGCACTCATGAAAACATGTCATATGTTATATGGGACTTGCACATTGGTTGTCAATTTCAAATGTCTGTTTGTGAAAGGCTTGAATGGGTTTAGCATGTAGTAAGTTGAATATTTTTTGCCCGGTTTGTTTACATCCAGTTTATTTTATTTTTGCTTTTTTTCCACCTGTGCTCAGGTAAAACGTTCACATTGACAATAACGGTGAAGACAGATCCACCTCAAGTCGCCACATATTGCAGAGCTATTAAAGTCACCGTAGACGGACCGCGGGAACCGCGTAGTAAGTCCTCACAAAATCTTTCCTCATTTTTGGGTTGTTTGACAAACGTATTTGTGGTTCACCCGAGCTCATCGTAACCCAGAAGGTTTTGAAATTTTTAATAAGCTTAGTGTCTCCATATTTTTTCATTTATTCCTTTGATTTTTATTTTTTATTCCTCTTTAAAATTTTTGGATAAAAAAAATTCTTCTGAGTGAAAAGAAAAAAATTTCGTGTATTTTCAAAGAATTTTAAACTCTGATTCCGACGTTGATTTGATTTTGAAAATTGATGTACAATCAGAGATAAACATCTTCTCCGATGGGCAAATTCATAATTCCTTGTAGCTTTTAATATCTCGAGGTATTCGCGGCCACAACAAGACCATTCCGAAACATACAAGTCTGTAGTGTTTTTGCCGCAGTGGCCTGACTTTGTCGATACTGTTGAAACCTAAAACAGATAAAAAATTTGCGGGTTCATTTTGAAACGGGTGCTGCTATGTTGTTTAGATTCATGAATGCTGGCCGCCTTACCGCAAATAAACATACGCTGTGTTTAGATAAATACAGCCATCCCGTTGTCTCATTCTATGCCGAAGCCACGCGTAGCGGGGACAAGTGATTCAAGCGATACGCGGGAACATGATTAATGTTTAATTTGCAATTAATGATTCATAAAACGGGCGAAACCCATTGGTTGCTGCGTTAATTGAATTTATTATCGTATGTTTTGAAGAATCCATACAATACAGATGCAGGTGGCAGGGCAGGTGGCAAATAGGTTGTAATGCCATTTCACCTGTCTTCGCGAGGCTTTTAGAAATGCATTTGTTAATTTAATAGCATTTCTCTTTCGTCTTAATCAGGCTAATAAATCAGATAAAACATACTCCGAAATTGGATGTCTTAGAGACAAAGAGCAAGGCAAGACTAGAAATTGAAAGCAAACAATCAAGTGTACTTTTGGTGCAGTTCAGCTAAGGGTTTCAGCAAACAGAATTATGTAGTCAAATAAATAGAGTTTATTTTTAATTTCTGGAAAGAAACATATGTTGAAGTAAAAATTGACTAATTAGTTTTTAGTTTTGAGTTTTATCTGATCCTGCCCTATGAAGAAAGTTCAATTTTACTTTTGGTTTTCCTTTTTAATTGAATTAGGACAGTAATTGATTTACTTCTTCTGTGTATTTATTTCTGATTTTTTTACTGGGTGAAAGGCAATAATACTACATTTCTTGGCTAGGCCTCAAAATGGGATTTTTAGCTGATCTGCTTTTAATTGTCATTATTGATAGTTAAGAAAAAAATAGAACATAATTTCATCCAAAACCAAAATCCCTTAGTGTGACTTTCAGCTCTTCATGAGTCAATTAAAATTTTTTCTTCCAAAACTTGTCCAGATTTTTGTGGAAATAAACCAAAACCCTACCAGCGTCAACAAAATCTATATTTTATGGTGGCAAGGTCAAAATGAAACTTTTAACTTGAAACCACCAAAATCATATAGATGTCCAAAAATCAAAATTCATGGTTTTGGTTCGAGATAAACAAAAGAAGTAATTTGAAACTAGACCATAGCTATGCATATAAGCCTACTAGAAAATGACAGATTCATTATTGATTATGAAGATTTTTGTCACTGTTGGGTATTGTGTCATTTTAATATTTTATGACAAACACAGAAGCCCCTTTGGACAAAAATATTTCAATTAAAAGCCAGATGTTCAGGGAATTCAATATGTCTTTTGACAAAAAAAAATATTATTTACATCCATAAAGAAGTGAGTTTGTGAAACTCAAAGAAGGATAAATCCTTTCTAAAATCAATCAAGTCATTAAATAATTTTTTTGGGCAAATCTTATTAGATCAATTTTTTCCAAACATATTGAAGTTGCTCGCCAAAACTGGCCTCAATGTGGTTTCTTTTGGTAAGGTTTAAGTGAAATATAAGAAGTTTGTTTGGTAATAACCACATATATAGTCATTGTATTGAATCTTTTGGAGTCCCAATTTTGCCTCACCATCATAGAAGTTCACCCTCAAACCACAAAATAGCAATTATTCTGTCAGAGAGATCAAGCTTGGAGAATTCTCTTATAACTCTCTATTTAAAAAAAAATCATGAACTTTGTCTCCCAAGCAATAAACCTACTTCACCAAGCAATACATTTTTTACCAAAAGTAACCTCAAATTTTGTATTAAATTCACTAAAATTTTAAAACCATTAAATTTCGCGAAGAAACCAACATCAAGCAACTCTTATCGCAAGATTTCTCCGTCTTTACAAAGACTTGAAAATTTTTCCCAAATGATGAACATGCGACTCTTCTTCATTTGCATCCACATCATTTTTTATTTCTCATTAGCATCTGATGTAAGCGTGGGTAGTCAGCGATAAAGGACTCACTTCAAAGCACGACCTTTCTAAAACCAAATTTTCTCTTTCTCTTATCTTTCCTATTAAATCCACCGTCTTTGGCATAAAATCATTTGGCCTACTTGTTAAATGGCTTGCAATAGAATAATTGGCCATAAGTTTTGTGTGATATTATGTAATTTTCTTAAACCGGAAAATCCACAAATTGTCGAGAAACCTTTTCAGTCTCAGCAAAACTCGGCGAATAGCATAAAATCATATGATTTAAGGTCTCTGATGTAAGAGGTATCCATCATTTACTCTAAATTCCAAAGGGAAAAGTTAGAAAAAAATCAAAATAACAAGATTCAACGAGCAGCTTGTCAGACCTTTAAAGCAGGAAAATTCAAACATTGATTTAAAAGCAATAATAATGATATAGCTGATAGAAGATCTGAGCATTTAATTTTGATATTTCAAAATAAAAACTGATGTATAAAAATCTTCTCGCTTCTGCTTCATGGCGACGTAAATTATCAAGATCGAGCTTGAATTTATCGCAAAGACGATTACAGATCTTCTGCTGTGTACCTCATGCAATGTTATAATTCGAAGCTAGTGGATTCTCAGCTGAACTGGGTTCTCCGATACCGCAGTTTTAATGTAATTAATAGTCGTACAAAGAGTCCCCGAACTTGGCCTGTTGATAATTCTTTTAGCGTCCAACTGTTCACACTAGGAGAGAAACGAACTTGTGGATTTTTCCAAGAGAGAACCACGCTGCTACTTGGGCTTCATTTTGTCGAAATTGATGAAAAAAAAGAGCTGTTCAAACCTGTGGTTGAACATCGTGCCTTTCCCTGCTACATTTCCAATTTTTTCACTGATTTTTTAACCCAGAATTTCATAGCAAAAAGGAACTA